AGTTAGATGAAGAATTCTTAGACATGACGCTAAAAGCACAATCTATAAAAGAAAAAAGTCAATAAATTCAACTTGATCAAAATTAAAAATTTTTGCTCTGTGAATGGCCCTGTTAAGACAGAAAATATTTGCAAATCATCTGACGAAGGGTCTGAACCCATAATAGATAAAGAACTCTCTCAGCTTAACACTAAGAAAACAGTCCACTTAGAAAATGGGCAAAAGACCTGAACAGACACTTTACCAAAAAAGAATGTATGGATGGCAAAAAAGCACAGGAAAAGATGTTAAACATCTTTAACGGTGAGGGCAGTGCAAATTAAAATCATGATGAGACACCAAACCACATCTATCTGAGTGGCTAAAATAAAAAATAATGACAATACCAGGTGATGATGAGGATGGCGAGAAACTGGATCTCTCATACATCGCTAGTGGAAATGTAAAATGATACTGTGATACAGTAATTTCAATACAACTAATGTTTGAATCATAAGTAATGTCAAACTGCTTTGTACACTTCTCATGCTGTCAAAACTTAAAATAAGAAGTGAGATCTCCGTTCCCATACAAATTTGTAGTGGATGTATTTTCTGGGCTTAAATTATAGTTCCAGCAGTGTGTTTCTCGAAGTACAAAGGAAACTTCCATATTTCAAGATCCGTTTATTTTAGAAATAGATAGTGACAACAGTTGCACAACATTGTGAATATAATTAATGCTCCTGAATTGTATACTTAAAAATAGTAAAAATGGCAATTTTTATATTATATGTATTTTACTACAATAAAAAACATCCATTTAATTGTACATTCAGTAGCTTCCACCTAACTTTCAATTGGAAGTGACTAATCTGCATATAATGACATGATAAAGGCAAATATCAAGAGAAAAATCTAATAGAATTCCATGATGCTTTTCAAGAGATAAATATGCTCAACTAAAATCATATATTCATGGATTTATTTTCAGTTTCAGTAGTACCTATCTGTGTGAAAAGATATTTTCAAAGATGAAATTATAAAATCTCATTACCAGTCGGCGTTAACAGATGAAGATTTGCAATTGATTTTGATGAAGGGAAAACGATTTTAAACCCCAATTAAGTGAAATGTTATTCCCCCATAAAAGAATTCCATTCTTCTCATTGGTAGAACTGTGTTACAAAAAATTGTACTCAATTATTATTACTATATTTTGAATTTTGTCAATTAACATTTTGTAGAAACTTGTGTTTTTTTGTAATATAAGTACCTACCTAATATTCTCAATTTGCCTCTTGGCCCACAAAGCCTAAAATATTTAGTCTGGTCCTTTACAGAAAATTTTACCATCCCTAGCTTAGAGCATTGGTTTTCCACTCTTTCTTCTTTTCTAATGTATGCTGTTAAAGTGTTCACAATTTCACTCTATGCTCTGCTTTAGCTGCATCCCACAAATTTTGATGTGTTAAAATTTCTTACCATTTAGCTCAGAATATTTACTAATTTCCATTTGATGTCGTCTTTAACTCGTATTATTTACAAGTGTGTTGCATAATTTCTGAATATTTGGAGATATTCTTGTTATCTTTTTTGCTGAATTCCAATTGAATTCCAAAGTGGTCAGAGAACATAGACTATCTAATGTTAGTCTTTTGAAATTCGTTGAGGTTGCTTTATGGCCCAGCATACAGCCCATTTTGGCAGATATCTAGTGGGCACTTGAAGTGGTATTATTTTAACTTTTTTTCTTCTTCTGAAGCTTTGGATATCCAAATAAAGCTGGTCCTTGTAACATTCTGAACCTGCTCTGTACCTATTCTCAGTTTCTACTTCCTTGTAGTAGGTATGTTTGTATTTTTGGTGTATCTTTCTCCTTTCTCAACACAGTGATTTTCTTTTCTTCCCCTTGTGGTTATAAGCAGCTTAAAGGTAAAATAAAACAAAGCACCTCTGTTGTGTACTTGAATCTCAGCCACCTTTAGTTCATTATTAGGTGCCATAGTCCCTAACCACTAAGTAAGTATTTACCTTATACCTAAGGACTTTATGTAAGAGTTCATTCTTTTCTTGGTGTTGACTCGTTTGTCGTGTTGTGGTGTTCTTCTCTCGAAACTGGTCTACCTTGCCTTTGACAAAAGGAAAAAAATGTGCTTCCCCTTGCCGGGGCTGTGTACTTTCTGATACTAAGCAATGCCTTATCTTATCTGAAGATACATAACTGTGCGTGGACTACAGCTATTGTATTTGAGGAAAGAGCCGCCTGGGCATCCAGGTGACCCCCATGCATGAGTTCTGCCCTCTCATTCCCGCTCGTATTGGAGGTGCCTCTGTTCTGTGTGGAACAGAGGTGGTGTGTAAAAATAGAGACCCTGCTTTGTGTAAGGTGGGTGCTGCACCACTTACCTTTTTCTTGATTTGGGGATCTCTTCTTTCTTGCTCTTTCACAATAATTGCTGGAAATATTTGTGATAATGTGAGAAAAGAGTGATGTACTTATAATCCTTACTTGAGGAAAATAATGCGTCTGCTTCTCCAACAGGAAGGCGTAACCTTTGAGTTACATTTAGGGTAGATGGGGACAGATGTGTCCAGACTCCTGGCCCACCCTCTTCTGCCATAGTCAGACTTTGAATTACATGCATTTTTATTAATATGATAAATTGGTATTTATAAACTTTGTAGTAAATACGTGTAACTTGTGTGTGTGTGTGTGTGAGGAAGATCAGCCCTGAGCTAACATCCATGCTAATCCTCCTCTTTTTGCTGAGGAAGACCGGCTCCAAGCTAACATCTATTGCCAATCCTCCTCCTTTTTTTTCCCCCAAAGCCCCAGTAGTTAGTTGTATGTCATAGTTGCACATCCTTCTAGTTGCTTTATGTGAGACGCGGCCTTAGCATGGCTGGAGAAGCAGTGTGTTGGTGCGCACCCGGGATCTGAACCCGCGCCACCAGTAGCGGAGCGCGCGCACTTAACCGCTAAGCCACGGGGCCGGCCCAATACGTGTAACTTTGTATTTCAACTCCTGAGACCCTCTGCTTTGTGCTGCAGAAATCTGGGTCTTGGAGATCTCTAGCTGTGCAGCCAGGGTGAGAGCCTCTCTTCTGCTCTCCCTGTTGCTGATGAGAGAGAGAGAGGAGGCATGTGTACATCCTGGTTTTTTCTGCTTGACAGGGCTTTAATTGGAGGGGTTTAATTGGGGTTTAATTGGAGGTGATTGTGAAGTTTTTGTCACAGAAAATGGGCAATCGAATTTGCAGTGAGTAGCGAAGGAACTGACTCCCAGTCCACGTTGGGAAATGAAAGATAAAACATTTTGATGATAAAAATATAAATTTTAGAATGTGCAACTCAAAGAGTAAATCCTAATGTAAACTATGGACTTTAGTTAATAGTAACATATCAGTATTGGCTCATTGGTTGTAACGAATGTACCACACGAATGCAAGATGTTAATCATGGGGACGGAGAAGAGAGCGGGGAGATGAGGAGGTACGTGGGAACTCTGTACTTTCTGCTCAATTTTTCTGAACCTAAAAGTGCTCCAAGAAATGAAGTCTGTCTAGAAGTTTTAAGTATCTGTTTTAAATGTTCCGTAGCAAGTTCATATCATACAAGTTAGTGTTTGGCCCCCTGATCCCCCTGGGATTTCTCAGGTAAGATGAATCTGGTTTGCAGTTTAAGCTGTTATGTCAGATAGATTTGCCCCTCTCTGTTTTTCTAATGTTCGTTAACTGTGCTTTTGCCCTCTCTCCCTATCTGTTGAAACAGTTGGAATGCCAAGATGCCTTGGAAACAGCAGCCCGAGCTGAAGGCCTTTCCCTGGATGTTTCTATGCATTCTCAGCTCAGAATCCTGGATGAGGAACATCCCAAGGGAAAGTACCATCATAGCTTAAGTGCTCTGAAGCCCATCCGGACCACTTCCAAGTAAGAGACTCTTCTGGGTAATGACTTGTCCGTGAAGCATCAAAAGCATTTTTGAAAATCCAGGCAAAGATTAGACCATTTGGGGAGGCCTGTTTTTAGTCAGAGCTCTGTTTACTAAACAGCATAGTATAGGCGCTGGCTAGCCTCTCCGTGTACGTTGACAATTTTGTGCTATGGGTTTTCTTTCTTTAGACACCAGCACCCAGTGGACAATGCTGGGCTCTTCTCCTGTATGACTTTTTCCTGGCTTTCTCCTCTGGCCCGCACGGCCCACAGGAAGGGGGAGCTCTCAATGGAGGATGTGTGGTCTTTGTCTAAGCACGAGTCTTCTGATGTGAACTGCAGAAGGTAGGCGTCTCTGGTCCACCCTTGTCTCCCATATACTGGATGCGTAGGGCCTGAGCTAGGAGTGTGGGTCTGACAGCGTGAAGTCCACGACTCTGTGTCCTTTGAGGATCTGAGCTATCCTATGGAGGGAGGGTTGCCTGGGGATGATGTTCTCTTTCCTCTTCTGCTTTATTTCCTATTTCACCTTTAATCCTCTTTTAACCACGGGCTTTCTCTCTCTCTCAGCCCCGCTTCTCTTCCTGAGTCTGCAGGGAGGTTATGTTGCTGCCTTGTGACAGAATACATGTTTATGGTAGCTGAGTGTCATGATTAAAATCTAGTGTACAACTTTACAATTTACACAGGATCCTTCAGAAAGGGTTGGGGACCCTTGAGAAAGGAAGCTCTTATCCACAAACAAATTCTGTTCAGGGATAATTTTTCTGGGTAGAAGGAAAGACTTTTGTTCTCATCCTTTTCTGTATCCTAGAGGCTCCCTATTCAGGGTAAATATGTAGTTACCCAGAAGGGTATTTTTTTCCTGAAGGTGAAGACTATGTACATAATTTTAAAGGAGAGACTGGTGTGAGTGGTGTCAAAGCCCGGAGACAAAAAGCGATGGCAGGAGGGAAGCTAGGGTGTGTTTATTCCCTGTGGAGATGTGTAACAGAGAACATGTGCCCTTGTTAAGACTAGAGAGACTGTGGCAAGAAGAGCTGAATGAAGTTGGGCCAGACGCTGCTTCCCTCCGAAGGGTTGTGTGGATCTTCTGCCGCACCAGGCTCATCCTCTCCATCGTGTGCCTGATGATCACGCAGCTGGCTGGCTTCAGTGGACCAGTAAGTTCTAACCATTCTTTCTGACAGTCTCCAGGGGCCCGGCCATGGCCAGCTCTAACATTCTTGTTCTGTTGCAGGGGTTGTGCTCACCTTTGGGCTAGTTAGCAGCCATAGAGATGCCTCCAGGTCTCTTGAAAGGGAACAGTTGATTTTGGAGTGAATGGTGGCTTGTCAGCAGCTGGAAGGATGAGGGGCCCATGTTGTCAGAGAAGAAATGGAACTGGTTTGCTTGCCTGGGGCGGGGGTGAAACCGAATGATTCCGGCTCTGCACGGGACTGTGCTTCTTTGCTGTGTGTTGACATGAAATGGCAGTCTCGGTTCGAGAAGATGTGTCTCGCAGTGCTGTGAGTGGGCGAGAGCAGTGTTGTGTGGCATAGGCTGTTGACCCAGTGCTGGTGACACACCGAATGCCCGGAGGCAGAGTTGTCACATGTGAGATGGTTCTGTGGCAAATGAGCCCTGAAGAAACTAGAGGACTGTTGAGGTTTTTAGAGTCTAACCTGGAGCCCATTTGAAACTTTGGTTTATAGTATAAACTGTGTGGCAAGTGTTGGGGCGGCAGCCGTGGCTTTTTCCTAGTGTGTACGAAAGCAGAGTAGGTAAGAGAGTGATGTTCACACTGTTTTCTGGACACCTGTTTCTTACATCTGCTATGCTGCCTTACACTTAAGACTTTGATTAAATCTATTCTCTACATATTTGCCTTGAGGCATCGGAGCAGTAGTACTACTTATACTGTGCATTTTCCGTGTGTGGGTAAGCTGGAGGTTCATGGTTTTGGTAAGTATGTGCCTAAGATGCATGGTGATTTAGGTAAAACTACTTTGCAGTTTTTCTGTTTCTTGTTTTTTTTTTTTTAAATGATTGATGCCTTTTGAAAAATTTTGATCTCTTTTTTGAAGCAGAGAACACTACTTTTCTGGTATTGGGTTTCTATATTAATTGACCAACTAACACACTTTTGTATAAGTTTTAAGTCAGAGGGACCATGTAACTGAATATTATGTTATTGACCAAAATGGCAAACATTTTCGTAGGACCAGCTTCGCCCAAGAAGAGCTTCTGTCATTGTTTCACTACAGGGCTGGTGGCCAGTCTCGTCTTTTGTAGAATTCTTTCAGCTGGGTAGCATGGTATACAGGCTTTCTTAGTTACATTTGACCAATGTAAGAATTTCATTGGCTCCCTCCCTTCCATGAAAATTCCATAGGTTGGTGGGATTTTAATTTTTTTCTTGGGAAAAAATGTTACCTATGCATGTTTAGCTTGGGGGCCTTATAGTCACTCCCTTGAGCATCTGCATATTCCTTAATCTCTCTTTTAAGGCACAGCACGCTGGAATACTAATCTCTAGTAAACTCTTCTGGATGCCAGGGAAAGCTGAGAGCCTTCCTTTAATAGGAAAACCGCAGCATGCTTTTCCTTCTTTCTACCCTCTTGGGGAAGAGCGCCTTAAGGCCTATATTATTTCATGAGATTCCATTCTAGAACAATCGAGAAAGCAAGGGTCCCATCCACAAGCTCTCTATGATAAAAAGACTTAAAATTGTAATCAATGCAAACTTCTTTTTTTGGAGCCAATTCTAATAAATTTCTTTTTGATTGGAAATTGAGGAATCAGGCCAGTTTTGAGATCAGTTCCAGCAATGAGCATACCTTCTGTCTGTGGATTTAAATCCTTTTGAGGAACATCCATTTTAGGTTTTTTCACATTTTCTAATATGGCATGGCTTTCAAACTGACTTAGTCTGTTCTTACAGAAATCTATGTAAGAACTGACTCCCCAAATATGGTGTCATATTTCTTATCTCCCCTCGGGCCTCACTGAACCTTGGTATGCCGAACAAATGAAACATAATCAAGTTATTGTGTTTTATTTTGTTTTTTTAAACAGCTGGACAGCTGAGGCTGGACATTTTTGATCAAGATGATCCAAGGTTTCAGTGACACCAGTGGACCAGTGCTCTGCAGGGTGTCCAAGGGTCACCATAATGTTAATGGAGTACCACAGTCTATAAGGGTATGGTCCTGACCTAAGAAAAATGGCCAAATTGCTAAACTTACAGAGATGATTTGATTCAAACCGTTTTAAAAGACCAGGCCTGACCTATGATTTGTCTATAAATAATTAGCATCCGCCCTGTAGATCTGCAAGGGAAGCCTCCCTCCTGCAGTGCAATCTCTTGGTGAATGCTAACCCTGCTCAAGGGCCTTTTGGGGAAAGGACAGTGAAAAGCCTCTAGAGAGGTAAGTTTCCCACCCTTCCAACCTCTCTCCAGCTGCAGCTTGCTTGGTGCTGTCAGAATCTGGATTTGGGGGGAGTGTCTCTGTAGTGGAACCAGTGACAGAAGCTGTTCTTTAGAATTTTCAGGATGGCTGTATTCTGCGGTCAGAATGAGAGAGTCAAGCTGGGCAGAATCTCTCGCCAAGAGTTCAGGTAAGGTAATGTTTATTCACTGGGAATGCCTTCCACAGCCAGACAGCTATGCTGACAATCTCAAGTTTTCTCCCAGTTTGTTTAAATTTAAATGATAAATTTGTAACTTTTTAAAACTAAATTTTGGTTGGCTTTTTCATGAAAACCTTTTTTCCTTTATCCCATACAAAATGGTTTGAAATGTAATTGTTTTTTAAAAACTCTGTGTGTTGGAAATTCTTTAATCTGCTGTTTCCTCTTTTTCCCCCCTTTGAAAGTTTTGCATAGCGTAAGCATTCGTTATGTCTTTTACCTTCCCTCGCCCCTCCCCTCCCTGCTGGGAGGTACTAATGCTATTATCTGGTGCTGAAAAATGGCACTATAAAGCTGTGGGAAGGAAGGAACCCCAAACTACAACCTGCTGTCCTTTCAAGCCTTCCTTTGGAGACTGTTCCATCGGTGCCGAGGTCTGTGAGAAAATGCTTTACTGTGCCGCCATCTTACTGAGTTGCTTCACGTGAGGAAAATGGGGTTTTGACCCTGCCACTCAGTGACTCAGTTCCACATTTTGGATTGCATACTGGAAAAGAAGCCAATCTTCTTGCTAGTAAACCAACAACCCAGCTGTGTGCAGTGGTGACCAAACAATGGATATAAACCTAAAAATCTGAGGGAGGGGAGAGGTGAAATACAATAGTTCTTGGAATCTGCAATCGCCGATTTATTTGAGCAGGTTATTTACTGAGACTTGATATAAATCTGATTGGAGGGAATCTCTTAGGATCTAGTGGACATCTGGTATTATTTCCTCCCAGGAGAAAGGAGAAATATCAATTAACCCAGAGGGAGTCTGGGTTCTGGAATTCAGCATTAGCTGCCTTAGGACAATTGTGTCTGACCTCCAGTTTTGTCTGTCATTCACAGCTGGCTTCCAGCTACAGTATTCTCTGCTGTTAAGGATCCGGGGTAGATGGGTGGATGGGTTTCTCGTTAATTTTTTTTTTCCTTCCTTCAGGGTAGGGGATTGGTTTGGCTTTCTTTTGTTGTGGTTTGTTTTGTTTCATTTTTGGCAAGATCCCTTTTAGCTGCAAGGACTTGAAAAGACTCTGAAGGATGCCAGCAGTTTTTCCTTGAGGCCTAGATTTTTGAATTCTGTCCTGAACAGAAGTCATTCCTCACAGCCTAGTGGACCAATAGCACCAGCGATTTTAAGCAGTGACCTCTTTGGGGAGTTTTTAGTTTAGTTTTATTTTTTAATTCTCTTTCCTTGGCAGCAAGGTCTTTATTCCTGGAGAATCTACTCTATTGCAGACCCACTGCAACGTGAGGAGCCCTAACCGCTTAAGTGCTGTCGGCTTGATGTACTACTCCGGACTCTGGAAACAGATATTGGTTCTATTCTGTATTTCCACTGTGTGTAGCTAAAACAACAGTCGGAGGCCAGATGACCTGTCAGATGGCTAGCCTTGTATAACTTGACTCTGTATGTTCCCATGTATGTTACCGCAATGCTCCTCCTGTACAGTGTCTGTGGGATGCTCTTTGAAGATGGTACTTTTTTTTTCATTCTCAATAAAAGTACTTTACCTCCCACTTCCTGGTATTTAATCCTATCGCTGAATGTGCCTTGTGTGAGTGTGTGCTCCGGCGTTGCAGGACCTCAGAGCTGGAGGTGGCGCTCGGTGGTTCTTGGGGGCTGGCTGCCTTCCCTCACTGCAGGTGGTGTTAGACATATGCTACCTGAGGTAACATGTTTTTGTTTTTGGGAGGGCGCGGGGAGTGGGGAGGGTCCACGGGAGGGTCTCTGGATTTTTGATAGTCTGTTTCATTTTCTCTCTTCTATACTATTAAACTGCTGATGTTTATTTTCAGGAATGTTTTGCAAATGCACTTCTCTTCCCCAGTCCAACTGTAGGTACACTGTTCCTTTTTATCAAATAAGCACGTTTGAAACGATGCAAAAAAAAAGGTCTTAATTTCATTTAAAGAAATGTATCAGTGTGTGGAGATACTGGAATAAGGTCAAATATATATTTTTTAATGGCCATGTGTTTAGAATTAATTTCAGCTCATGGACAGGTTTATGTTACATTAGAAAGAGTAACGGTTTTGGTGGTGTCCTTAAGGAAGAAAGTTTCAAATAAGACCTACCTCCTGCGAAATGCCCTGAGTAAATTACTGCAGGCAGCTGTCTGTAATATTTCATCCTCCGAGAAGGGTCTTCTCTGCTCGTGCACGTATCACTGTGCAACGGAGCTGCCTCCTCTTTCTAACTTAACATAAAACTGTGGCGTCATGTGTGGGTGCTGTGGAGATGCTGACGGTGGTGTGTGTTTCTCCCTGTAGGCCTTCGTGGTGAAACACCTCTTGGAGTACACCCAGGTCACAGATTCTGACCTCAAGTACAGCTTGCTGTTAGTCTTGGGCCTCCTCCTGACGGAAATCGTGCGCTCTTGGTCACTTGCGCTGACTTGGGCATTGAATTACCGAACTGCTGTCCGCTTGCGGGGGGCCATCCTAACCATGGCATTTAAGAAGATCCTTAAGTTAAAGAACATTAAAGAGAAGTCTGTGGGTGAGGTGAGTAAGGGGTGTTTGCAAAGGGCAGAGAGAAAGCTCCCGGCTTGAGCTCTTTCTTTCTGTTGGGTCCTTGCTTTGTCCTTCATCTTCCTCCTGAGACAAGTGGCCTTCGTCCTTGCAGGATCCTCTCACTGCTCTTTGTGTCTCGTAGCTCATCAACTTGTGCTCCAATGATGGGCAGAGGATGTTTGAGGCGGCCGCCGTTGGCAGCTTGTTGGCTGGAGGACCCGTTGTTGCCATCTTGGGCATGATTTATAATGTCATTATTCTGGGACCAACAGGCTTCCTAGGATCAGCTGTTTTTATCCTCTTTTATCCAGCAATGGTGAGTAAGCCTTCTTTGCTGTATTTTGGCAGCTTCTCCTTAGATGAATTACTTCCATTGGGTTATATATAGTAGGTACCACTGAGGTATCACATCTCTGATTGGAAATTTCCTCAAATCAGGTACCTGGTGTGGAAAAGTCTAGAAAGAGCTAGACAGTGTTCAGTCTATATAGGCAGAATTTCGACTTGAGGGGAAGTAAGGTGTCACTTGAATAAATGCAGTGGCTCCTAGTGAGATTAGAAAAGAGAGAGTCTGAGTGAAAGAGAAGGCCAACAGATGAACCTTGCCCCCAGGGAACAAGGAGTGTTTGAGTCACCCTGTCTCAAGTTGATGACAACTGATGTGGCTTTCCTGCTTCCCTTTGGTAGCACTCAATATCTGTGATTACTCCGAGAACAAATACTTGTTTGTCTTAACTGCCTTACAAAGGAATAAGAATTAAATAATAGTTGACCGCTTTTAATTTAATAGACAACTTTTATTTAAAAAATAGTCCCACTACATGATGCTCATTTTATTTATAATAATCTTAAACAGATTTACGTCCCAGAAAGACTAGACAGTTTTTAAGTTTGAATAAACTCTGGTTTGGCATGACATTGCTTTTCCTTTCAGATGTTTGTATCACGGATCACTGCATATTTCAGGAGAAAATGTGTGGCCACCACAGATGACCGTGTCCAGAAGATGAATGAAGTTCTCACCTACATTAAATTTATTAAAATGTATGCCTGGGTCAAAGCATTTTCTCAAATTGTTCAAAGTGAGTTTAACAACTTCATATGTGCATGTGGTAGAAGGACTTCGGCCTCTTTGCTTCCTCAGCGCATTAGCTACTAGGAATCCTAATGTCATAGGGCTGTAATATCTTAGGTTCTTATAATATCTTATGATCTTTACGTTGAGAGGGATCTTATTGATTTGAACCTATAAGGTCATCTCACGGATGAGGAAATTGAGACCTGAGAAAATTGTGATTTTTTTTTTTCCCCCCAAGATAACTCAGCTAGTTATGAGTAATTCATTCGGTTTGAAGCCCCCTGTCTATACTCTCATCCCACCCATAATTTTCTGGCCTGGCCATGAGGATATCACAGAAAACAATATCAAGCGGCTGCTGAGAGCTCCACTTCTGCCCCCTCCACTCTGTGGGTGCATGTGCACCATAGATAGATAGGTCTGAGATCCTGGGGGGGTTCGGGGAGAAGCTGGATTGGGGGTCAGGACAGCTGGACTCTGGGCCTAGCTCTGCCACTCACTCATAGGAGTTTTTTTTTTTTGGTTTGTTGTTTTATTTTTATCTTTTCAAATAATTTATTTATATTGAGTCACCAGGTTCTCAGAACCTGACCCCATCCTGATCTGTAAATTCAGTGCAGACATAAACATGTCTAATATATAAATGCCACAAAGCTTGGAGGAATAAATTAGCACAGAATGGGCATTCAAAAAGATTCAACAGAAGTCAGAATGATGGGCCTTAAAAAAGGTGAACTTTAAGAAGGATGTATTTAAAGACATTTTACAGTTCAAAAAAGAATGCATATTTACATTTAGACTTAATTTAAATATGAAAGATGTGGGCTGTTAATTGACCATAACCTCATAGTGTGCTAACCCTGAATATGCTGCAGTTAAAAAGTTAATGCAGTTTTAGGTTGAATAGAAATACAATGTTCAGATCAAGGAGGCTATTTTAATTTCACTGCTTGGTTTGTCGATTAAACCTTTAGGAACATTGTTTCCGGTTCATAGGCTTTATTTATGAGTGGTCATCCAGAGGAGGTGACCACTCAGAGGTGTCCAGCAGTAGATTAGGCTGCTTCGTTAAGTAGTGAGTTCGTTGCCCATTGAATGGAATAAATGGATGCTAACTGGACATCTGCCAAGTATCTTCTTGGCAGGGTGACTGCTGATGGTCCCTTCTGGCTCTCAGATGCTATAGTTATCATCATCTTTGTGAAATTCCACTCATCCTTCAGCCCTTGACTTGGTATCTTGTGTGTGTTAGTTTGAAAAGAATGTTCATGCTCGGTATAGACTTGGGCAAGGCATATGATAAATATTAAAGCAATGAGTTGGATTTTTAAAAATATGACTTATGAACTAGCTCTGAAGATAGTTCCCAGTGTCTTGGACAGTGGTAATACCTTTAAGGTCAGTGCATAGCCTCTCAGAAGAATTGCTTTTGTGCTTGAAAATACCTCACCGCTTTATTGTCATACGTCCTCCTCCATGGTCTTCAGTACTCTGTGGTTGCTCTGTTAATAAGGGTGTCAGTTTTGCAAATATTTAAGAAAAATCTTTCTGCCTACAAAAATTGTATTTCACTCATTTCATTCCAATCATCCTTACTGTTTGTTGTGTGAAAGCCTTCATCCCACACCCACATATAGTAGGCACTCTAGTAAATCTTAGTTCCTTTTTAATTCTCCATTACTGTTGTATAGTCTTTCCTATAAATACCTAAGTAAGAAATAAACAACAACTAGGTAAGCAAACAAAATTGCCAATTGCAAGTACAATTAATATGTTCATTCCTTCTAAACATAAGAAATTTGCAAAAAGAATCAGAATAAGGCAGAAGATGATTATTGTACAGCTATGTAGTGGCTGGTTTCTGTTAGATTCATTCCTGTGACTAGATTCTTTTCAAACCTCAGTCTTGTACGCCAGCTTTAATGATAGTAATTGATAGTCATATTGACCTAGTTTTTGCATCATAGGTGTTCAAGGATCGTTTTAAAACTTATATGTGGCTGAAGACCTACCAACTCTTGTTTGGTGACAGAGGAGCAATATCCCAAGGTTTCTTTTGACTTGCTTTGAGTTTGGCTTGCTTTTTAGAAATTGGCTTGCTTTTTATTCTTAGAAATCCGAGAGGAGGAACGTCGGATATTGGAAAAAGCTGGGTACTTTCAGAGCATCACTGTCGGGGTGGCTCCCATTGTGATGGTGATCGCCAGTGTGGTGACGTTCTCTGTTCACATGACCCTTGGCTTCGACCTGACAGCAGCACAGGTCAGTGAGCCCTCAGGGCTTGGGAACATTTTAGAAACACCACATATGGAGATGCTATGGTCCTCTTGTTACTGGATTTGGATTTTTAATTCATGTGATTAAGCCGAGAAGTGGAAGAGTAGGGATTAGTCCTAATGCACAAATAGTGTACAGGTCCTCAACCCAACTTCGGGTTTAATTCTGAAATTACAGATCATCCTTTGGTTCAGATTTGCTGAGAATTTTAATTGAAGGTCTCATAAAAACTCCACCTTTAAAAAAACGTATCTGATTTGAGCCAACATTTGACCGTCGAGTTGCAGCCTTCCTTAAACCTGAGAGGAAAGTGATGATGTCTTGTTATTTTAGTTGCATAGCCTAATCAGGCTTCCTATTTTCAGGCTTTCACAGTGGTGACTGTCTTCAATTCCATGACTTTTGCTTTGAAAGTTACACCGTTCTCAGTAAAATCCCTCTCAGAAGCATCGGTTGCTGTCGACAGATTTAAGGTAAGTGGCTCCCTTCCCCTCCTCCGTGTCAGGAGCCGTCCCTGGCAAAACTAACGGCTGCCTTGATTCCAGTGGGCCACACAGGCTGGCTGCACTTCTGTTCACCTCTAGCCTTTTGGCATGTTGGTAAGAAAGGGGGCAGTGGAGGAGACTGAATTAAGGGACCTTTTCACATAAATAAATAGGTGTGGGCTCCCACGATTTCAGTTCCCCTTCAGAGCTAGGCCCTCTGCCTGGGACTGACGTGGATATATGTCATAACTTCCTGGGCCTTTAAGTGATTCAACCCTGGACGATCAGAGCTGTCAGGTGACTGTCAGCTTTTCCTCATCTGATCTACCATCTGCTTCTACCAGATGCTCTCGGCATTTTGATTGGTCAATATGCTGCGGAGCACTTTTCAGTACTTTCTTTTCCTGCCCTGGGGTTGTCACTCAGGATGCAGGAAATGCAGTGACGTGGGAATGGGTGTCATAAAACCAGATCATGTTGAGAAGTGCAGTTCAATTAAGTATCGGGTTTTTTCTTAAGGGGGTTAGTTGATCATGCCTTGACTGTTCTTTGTGCCTTCAGAATAATACAAATAAGGATACAAGAGGAAGATATATTTGGGAAGGTGGAGGGAGATAGATATTTGGAGGTGGTTAATACTTAAAAAAAAGAGAGAAGAGGAGCAGCACCTGTGTGGGCTGGACTTCCCTGACAAAACCGCTGCGTGGAGTAGCTCCTGCTAATCCTCCTTGGCTAGAGAGAAGAACAATACAGAAGCAGTGCTGGTGGCTTGAAGGCTTGAGGCTCAGGTGTTTGAGGATTAATAGCATCACCTTAGATGTTCAGGAGAAAACAAATTGGGTTTTTCTCTTAAGAAGAATGGAGAGTAGCTTCCCAAGATTTATTTATATTCTACTTGTTTATCATTAGCCAGGTGAATTTTGTTTGTTGAGAAGGCTAGTCCTCAAGGATGACCTCCAGCTCCATGCCCTCCCTCACCCCAACCTGGCTGCTAGAAGGCCAAGAGCCAGAGCCATAGGAAAAGAAATGGTCTAATTGTAATCAGAGCTGTATTTTGCTGAACCTGCAGTATCCAGCCGTGGAAGAAGGCAAATGTTTTGACCATAAGTTTGTCCCTCTGTTTCTCTGTCCTTGTTAGTGAATGGATTTGGTGGCATTTGGGATGAAGGAATAGGAGTTTACAGTATAGATTTGTTCTCTCTTTGTTTCTCGAGAGCTCTCTTCTCTTTACTTACTAGTGAGGACTTGTATTAGCAGGTGGCTTTTTGCATTATCCCTCCTTCCTCTATCCAGGAAGCTTCAGAGTTAATAATAGAAGCAAAATCACCCACAGCTCTATGATATGTCCCATGAGACTTTAGTTCCATTCTATCTTATTGCTCTTGGTAATCTCCTTCTCCTCTCCCTGCACCTCCTCCTCCCCCTCTCCTTCCCCTCCTCTTCCCTTTCTCCTCCCCTCCCTTCTCTCTCCCTGCTCCTCCTTCCCATCCTCCCCCTCTCTCCCCCCCTCTCCTTCCCCTCTCCCTGCTTCTCCTCCTTCTAGGAAGATGATAACTGTAGAAAGGCCATGAGAAGCCCCTTTGTGACTTTTCTGATAAGATTGTCACCAGTATAGGGTTGCCAGCTTTAGCAAATACAAACACAGGACACCCACTTAATAACTGCTTGGGACATATTTATATTAAAAAATTATGCATGGTTTATCTGGAATCAAAATTTTGCTAGGCAACCTGTGTTTTATCTGGCAACTCTATGAGTAGACCCCTCTTCTGCTCAACAGATACATTCTTATTTGATTCTTCCAGTGAATGAGAGGTGTGTTTTATAGTCAGTGTCCTGTGGTAAAGTTGAGGTTTATGGTTTGTGTACCTCTGAAATTCTGTTGTCCTGGCAGGTGCAAATCCAAGTAGATATAAATCCAAGTGTCACCAGGGCCTTGTGTGTCTCAGCATGTCGGGGCAGTGACCTGAGGCTGAAACCCTCCTGGGAGGAAGGAGGGGCTGCAGGGAGCCCATGGGAAGGAAACGTGGGGAAGGAGCTGTGCAAACTAGCATCATTTTTAATAGTCTGTTGAGGCCTAAAAGATCCTTTTAGTAACTCTTTGCGGGAGAGAAATGATGGGAATGCAATCAGCATAGGGTTTTACTCTCTGAAGGTGGTCGGAATATTTGGCATGCTATTCTTAGCTCGGTCTCTCAGGGAGGGTCTGAACAAATGAAACCAATAGCTGTTTTCAGAAAACTAAACCTAAGGTTGACCAAGAGTGAAGATTTCCTAGGAGATTTAGAACCATGGCACTTCCAGCACCTCTGGGAAGATTGGGGATTAGGAACGGAGAGGAGACGTGGCGACTTCAGGGAGGAAAACAGCAAGCTTAGAAGTTGAGAATCCAGGAGAAAAGGCTTGCTCTCGGGGGAAGAGGATTATATGCTACATTTAATAGCACCAGCAAACTTTAAAATAGTTGGAGGTTCTTAGTAACCAAGCAGAGTCCTGACCCTAAAAGTCATCTGTTCTCTGAAGACTTTCTAATGTTGTTTTATAATGTTTTTATTAAAAAAAATGTTTTTATCATATTGGGAATCTAGCTGAGATAGCATTCTTTAGAGAAGATCACTGGTTTAAGAGACTTGTCAGAAGTGGGTTCAAAGTCGTGGAAACGTGTAAGTCCTGGGCTGAGATATATTATGGTCAGTGTTTCAGATCTAACTTCAGAAACACAGCTTTTCAAGCATTCCATTTTCCTTCCCCTAACATAACTCAGTGGGCCTCTAGGAATGAGTGGGAGGACAGAGTCTTGTTCCTTTTCCAAGGATGTTTCTGAGGGAAATACCCTTCACTTCCACGCAAGTCCGTTCCTTTGGTTGTTTGAATTCTCTCAAGTTCCAAGGCGGGACTTTGAAGACATGAGAACTTGTTGGCGAGAAGATGTGCTCTACCATTGGTGAAACCTTCGCTACTCTTTCTAACCTGAGCAAGCTAGGCCTGGTCACAATCTCGGCTCAGCCTCTCCCACTAGACATGTGCCACGTTGAGCATGAGGGACGTGCACAGGCTTGGGGTTCTACAGGAGTGATCTGGAAGGGAAACAGAGAGATGAGGGTCTATATAGGACACCAGTGTGCCCCTTGGTTTTCCTGCTAGCATTTTACTGCTTGCGACTCAGCGACTCCTGGGTGAGAACAAGGGGCTGCATACCAGTGAACTCAATGTCCTTTGGTCCACATTGGACTGGTGGAAAATGAAAAGGTAGTTTAGCATGTAACAGGAAGTGTAGAGTGTTGGGCAATTGACAAGGCTCCTGTCCCTCCTGAGGGTGTCCCCACACCCCTGTGACCTCTCGATGGGCCTGAGGCTGGGCTACACTAATGAGCTGCCTTTTGCCCTTCAGCTTCCTTCCACTGTATAGCCTGATGTGTTTTGCTACGTGAGTGTACGCCCTAGGCTTGTCTCCCTGGTCTTGATCCAGTGTCTCATCTTTGCACCTCTCTCACAACTCCTATCAGAGTTTGTTTCTAATGGAAGAGGTTCACATGATAAAGAAAAAACCAGCCAGTCCTCACATCAAGATAGAGATGAAAAATGCCACCTTGGCATGGGACTTCTCCCACTCCAGTATCCAGAACTCACCCAAGCTGACCCCCAAAACGAAAAAAGACAAGAGGGCTGCCAGGGGCAAGAAAGAGAAGGTGAGGGAGCTGCAGCGCACTGAGCATCAGGCGGTGCTGGCAGAGCAGAAGGGCCACCTCCTCCTGGACAGTGACGAGCGGCCCAGTCCTGAGGAAGAAGAGGGCAAGCATGTCCACCTGGGCAACCTCCGCTTACAGAGGACGCTGTACAACATTGACTTGGAAATCGAAGAGGTAAGCCCTCTGCCTCCCCGCCCCCTGCCTGCACCCTCTCTGTCTACCGAGTGTCTATTCTGGAAGAGTAGGCAGCTGCCATTCCTTTTAGCAAAATACTTTGTGGCTGGGAGTGATTTTGAACTAAAGAGCAAATCTGAGCAGCTCGACCTCTAAAAGGAGTATTTAGGCATTTAACAATAGAAATGCATAACAACTGATCTCATGAGATGCTCATTTTACAAGCAAGGCAATGAAGCCTTCAAGTGGATTTTCCAAGGGTTTGCCCTGAATGGATTTCTGGTTGTTATAGTTGTATGTGAGCTGTAATAATTATTTCTGGTTATTATAACTCTGTGTGGGCTTCTCCTTACCACTAGGCTGTGCACAGCATAGAACCTGGCATATAATAGGTACTCTCAATGCTGCTATCCTCGACAATTCTGTGGTAATTGTTTATTTTTAATGTAAGTAAAGGCTCATTTTGGAATATGATGTCACCCAAGTAGCACAGGACTAGAGTCTCTCAGAGGCCCTCCTGTAGAGAGTGGCTGGAACACAGATTCCAGGTTCAAGGCTTTTAAAATACAGAATATGCCTGGGAACCAGCACTGTGTTGAGGGCTGCCACATCCAGAGGGTCCCAGATGGATATAGATCCATTCATTCAACAGCCCTTTTTTGAGCACCAGCTCTATGCAGGCACTGTTGTAGGGCTGGGATATAGCAGTGAAAGACCAAACACAAAAGAATCCCTGCCCCATGGAAGCTTACATCCTAGTGGGCAAAGACAGACAGTAAACAAGTAGAATAGGTATATTGTACATCGGATGGCGATAAGGGCTATGAAGAAAGGGGAGGGGAGCAGAGAGCAGGTATGGATGCAATTTAAATAGGTTGCCTGAGGGATGCCTCATTTAAAAAGGAATATTTGAGTAAAGACCTGAAGGAGGTGAGAGAGTAAGCCATTTGGGTATCTGAGGGAAGAGCATTCTAGGCAGAGGGAGCCGACATGCAAAGGCCCTGAGTCTGCAGTGTGCCTGTTACTGGTGCAGAGTGAGCCCAGGAGAGGATAGTAGCTGCTGGGGGCAGAGAGGCACTTGGGATGCCAGAGCCCCTGTAATGACTTGGGCTTTACTCTGAATGGGAAGAGAAGCCATTGGAGGGTTTGGAGCAGAAGAATGATGTGATCTGACTTTCGTATAAAGAGAATCATTCTAGCTTCTGGATTCAGAGGAGTATGTTGGGAAACAAGGAAGGAGGCAAGGAGAACAGTTAACCCAGGAGGAGCACAAGGATGTCTTAGACGGAGGGTGGTGGTGAGAAAGGTTTATCTACATAACTGGAAGTAGGGAGTGATGGGTTCCAATGCTGTGTATGACTAGAGACATGTTACACAGATCCAGAGCTAGGGAGAAGAGAGAACAAAAGCTCCCAGCTCTTGAAAGCTATAAACAAGAGGAGGAGATGGTCCTTAGTGAGACCACCTGAAACAATTAGTGTTGTTCATCATTGGAAGGCACTCAAGTCAGGTTTTGACTTCAGTTAACTCTTAACCATAGGGTTCGTATTTAGTAACTATTATCTTGATTTTCAAGGCAGCTCTACTACATTGCTACTCAGCTGTATTAGAGGATTATTCCTCATAATCAGCTGAAGTTTACTCTTCGACTTTCTATGTATTGGTCCTCATTCTGCCCTTTAGAGCCCACATTCACATGACAGACCTTTAGCTATTTGAAGGGAGATACCATAATTCTCCTGGCCTGCCCACTGTAGGGAGGGGAAGGGAGGAAGTTAATATTTCCCTGATGTCTTCTGTGCCAAAGGCACTTACTTCATTGTTGGTGTCTCCTTTAGTCACCATTTAGTCATCAGAACAGAGTTTCCTCTGGGTAAACCTAACTGACCTGAGCAGAGACTGCACCTATGACTTGGTCTCCTCATACCACCAGGCTGTAATCTTTCAAACTCCTGGGCCGTGTCAGAAACTTTGTTTGCTTAACATACTTTTATTAAGTACCAGACACCGGACTTGGTTCTATAAGGATGACTCCTTCCTTCGAGTTGCTCAAAGCCCAGTGAGAGGGACAGACAGTATTAGTTTAAGTAACAAGGCCAAGATCACACAGTTGTCAAGTGCTAGTGGAGTTGGGATTCATATCCAGACTGTCTGCTCTTTCCACACCACCACTCTTCATTCCTTCCTTCGCTGTGAGACTTGAGCCAACACAGGGTTGGCGAAACAAGTGGCCCTGTTAAAATCCTCTGTCTGTTCTTGAAAACTTTTACGACAGCCCGTTGAGATCTCATTGTTTGGCCTAAGGATATTCAGTTCATCACAGGCTTGCTTTTCTATATTATGTGGGATTGACGATATAAATGTTCCTCAGATTCTTGGAAATGTTTTGTATAAAAATGGAAACAACAGTGCATATAATTTTTATTGAAAATAATTTATAGACCCTGGATAAAAAGTCATAATAAAATAATTTTTAAGAGTCCTGGGTCGACCCCGTGGCTTAGAGGTTAGGTGCGCACGCTCTGCTGCTGGCGGCCCGGGTTCGGATCCTGGGCGCGCGCCGACGCACCGCTTCTCCGGCCATGCTGAGGCCTCGTCCCACGTACAGCAGCTAGAAGGATGTGCATCTATGACATACAACTATCTACTGGGGCTTTGGGGGGAAAATAAAAAAAAAAATTTAAGAGTCCTGCCTCTCTTCCAAAAACAACAGCAAAAATAAATAGATAGTCAAAAAACATGGGTTACCAACAAAGTAGAAAAGGGCCTGGGCCTTTCTGTAAGTGATGTGGGATACATTAATGTTAGCTGCTTATTTATTTTTCCAAAAGGCTTACATATCTGTTAGCTCAGTGTATCCCCACAGAAACCCTATGAAGTAGGTGTCTGACAAGGGAGAAAGCAGAGGTAAGTGACTTGCTGGGTCATCAGGATGGCAGTTCCCATATTGATGGACTGTCGTTAATGTGTTTTTCCTCAAAGAAATCAGAAGTCTGTAAAGATGAGTGGTCAGTAGTCTCTTAATGACCTTCCTCTCTATGTGCTTTGTCCAGGGTAAACTGGTTGGAATCTGTGGCAGTGTGGGAAGTGGAAAAACCTCTCTCATTTCAGCCATTTTTGGCCAGGTAAGATTTTGTTATTGTCCTTGGTATTTTCTGCTTCTTGCTTTGGACTCGGCTTAGCAAGGGTCTCAGGAAAAATAAACTTATTTCCTGAAGAGAGTCAAGAAAGGGAGAAACCAAATGAACCTTAGTCTGCATCATGCCCCCCACAACTGCATTTGCACCCCTTAATAGCATTGTATCCGGAAGGGGACTCAGAGGATACCTGATGAATGACTACTTGATACCCAGCTGGAGTCATTTGTTTCTCCTGCCTTCTTTTATTCAGTATGTATTTATTGAGTGCCATGGGTGTGCCAGTGTGTTGGGAAATGTCAGAGATAAGAAATGAACACAATGCAGACTGCCAACAAACTGAAGAAGTGGGGCTGATCAGCATGATCTGCCTCCCTGTCAGAGAGAGCTGTCAGGATTTGATCTAGAAGCAAAGCCCCAGTCCATTTTCAACCTAACCTAGAAATTCAACCTAAGAATTATGCCCACAAGGAGTTCATGGTCTAGTTGGAAACCTAGGCCTTCTAGACACCAAGCATCACACAAGGCAGTGAGTGAAGAGAGCGCAGATGGCCCAGCAGAGGGCCGTCAGCATTTAGAGTGGGGGCCGGGGGGAGGGTCATTCAGCTAAGATAAATTATCTTTTACTGTTTTAGAACCAAATAATTAGGGAAAAAAACAAAACCCAAGGTACTCCTACCTGCTTTTCATCTTGAATTAATGTAGCTTGACTTAGATGGTTGAGATGAGGATAAACTTAAGATTATTCCTACCTCCTGATGGTTGAGGTCCTCTGAATCATGAATCCATATTGAGGAAATTAAACAAATGGGAGAAGGGGTTGGGGAAGAGTGTTTTGTAGCATCCAGGTTATGGAATATTTTGTCTTGTTCAGTGTCACTATCACAATTGGTAGAGTGTGGCTCTCCTCAAGAGCGGTGGTGCCCAAGGTAGTTTGAGGAAGGCTGCGTTCGAATCATCTGGAGTGGCAGGCCCCCTTCCCCTTTTACTTTATGAGACTTGTCAGTGGTTGGGCCCAGCCATTGGTCTTTGTAAAAGCCAAAAACCTCCTAGGTGATTTCTGATAATCAGCTGGATTTAAGGGCCAGTGATAAGAGACACAGGAGGAATGAAGGGAGGGGAGGGTTGAGTGGGCAATGGTTAGATTGAAAACTGAGTGGGTCTTTGCTTCTGGATCAAATTCTGACAGCCTTCTCTCTGATAGGGAGGCTGGTCATACTGGTCAGCCCCCCTTCTTTACAGTTTAACTCTTTGTTGGCAGTCTGCAGCGTCGGGTGTTGGTGCTGCAGCGGCCGGAAGAGTTGGGTTTCCACAGTAGACCCTCCGTGGGTTTCTGAACACTTGAGTGCATTTCAGAGTGCTTACCAGTGTGTGGGTAGTTGGTCCTGCTGTGTCACGGTCTGTGGCGGGTGCACCTGTGTGTGTACACTTTGTGTATGGTGTTTGAGAGGACAAGCTTGTATGTGCATGTACTGTGCAGGCTGGCCGGCGAAATTTTGTTTCAAGCTATAGCATCCCTAACCCAAGACAGATGTCTACCGTTGGTGCCAAAAGGAACCCTGAAAGAGGATAAAATGGATAAATCAATTCGTATCAATCCTATCAATCAATTGTGAAAACACAATTCAAAGCATATGGCTTATCATACAGTCACTTCCTATTGGAGGGGAGGGTCTGTCATCGTTGTATGGATACTCTATAATACTAGTTAATGTCTAACTGGAATTTTTTTCCCTTCGGTGCTCATTTTACAGAAGCAGCTGGTCTAGCCAACAGCCTGGATTAATTCTGTAGATGAGTTGGCCTGCCCTCATCTTGAGGCAGGGACTTGTAAATCCGCACAGCATCCTCCTCAGGGGAATTCTGAAAGGGCCTTCTGCTTGTGCTTCCCTTAATTAAAACAGTTTGCAATTAGGAAGAAAGGCTATAAAGTAGCTATGGGTTGCTGAATGAAGTGTTTGTTCATTCAAGTCATGGGTTATACTGGGCTCCCATCACACATAAGTAAGGAGAACTTTGATTTTCTTTGCTGCTGTAGCTCTCCATGGAACAAAGGTGAGGTCTGGATTTGAGTCCAAAAAGCATCCAAGGAAATTGCCCAAACTTTCAACTCAATTGTGGAATGTGGGGGGTTCTGTTATCTTAGGGTGATGATTTTGCGTTATGATGCCATTGGATGGTGTCTGTCTCCCTAGATGACACTTCTAGAGGGCAGCATTGCAGTCAGTGGAACCTTCGCTTATGTGGCCCAGCAGGCCTGGATCCTCAATGCCACTCTGAGAGACAACATCCTCTTTGGGAAGGAATTTGATGAAGAAAGGCAAGGAATGTTTGGTTTCTGTCATGCTTTCCATCTTGGCCGTGTGAGACGCAAGGCAACCCAAGTCAACAGGCTCTACTCCAACCATGTCCCTGATGCTAGGTCTCTTTATGTCCTTCAGATACAACTCTGTGCTGAACAGCTGCTGCCTAAGACCTGACCTGGCCATTCTTCCCCACAGTGACCTGACTGAGGTATGAGTCTTCTGGCCCTGATGGGGCAGTATGTTTAGCAGAAAAGATTCTGGAAGATGGATGGCAGGGCTGTGCCAGAGCCACCTCCTAGGAGTGCATCTTAAATGCGTGGGCAGTTTTGCTGCAAAACACAGGCAGTTTTGCTTTTATTGGGACTTTATCTTAGGAAAGCATTTGTTCCTTAGGGCAGGGATATCAACACTAACTGTTTTAAGCATATAAATATTTCATATGTCATGTGGATTTTAAACAAAATCCCATTGTTGGTTCAGAGTTAACATTTTCTACACTATTCATTTTTAAAACCCTAAGTCAAGCATGTGCGTGTTGAGCTTCCTCCCGGGACTTTATTCTGCCAACCTGCTTACTCAGATACAGTCTGTAGAGAGCCCTTTTCCATTCAAAAGAAAGAGGCCTTAGAACAAATCCATCTTTCTTTGGTTCTCTGCCCTGGAGCAGTTTCCCAAGGTGTGTCTTTGGAACTCCTCTGTGTTCTTCAGTGTTGATGCTTGTCTCCCGTGACCTGCCCTGGAGGTCTCTGGGGCTGGTACTTATTCAGCTGACTTCAGTTAAATCCCTCAAACCAGACTTGGTGAATGGTTTAATTAGTTCTCTGCTTCTCAAAAAGGTGGTTCCCAGATCAGCAGCAGTAGCGTCACTGGGAACTTGTTAGATATGCAAATTTTTAGGCTCCACCCCAGACCTAGTGTATCAGCAACTGTAGGGGTGGGGCCCAGCAATCTGTTTTAACAAGCCCTGCAAGTAATTCTGATATCTGATCCAGTTTGAAAACCTCTGAATTAATTGAATGTTTTTATAAAAATACAGAGCCAGTTACCATTTGACAATTGATTTATTCATTTGGTCATTTAGTAACATTTATCGGGTGCTTGTTATATGCCAGCTACATGTGCAGAAACTGCTGGGCACTGGGAATATAAAGGAATAGGACAATAATCTATGCCCTCAAAAAGCTTACAGTTGAGAAGATGAGACACCCAAACATATGGGCACAAAAAAAGCTGATGAAAAAGAGTGCCCTTTCTTTTGGGTGTTAGTGGAGAAGAGGGTGGGGGAGGTTTCGCAGAGGACAGGATGCCAGAACCGAGCAGATATGGTACAGGAGAAAGCATGACACTAGTTGTGTGTGTTCATAATAGACACAATATAAAATGGCTTCGAACCCAGGGTGTGGAAGGGGGACTGGCAGTGGAGGCTGAGAGCTGCTGGGGAGCCAGGTGGCAAAGGGCCTGCTTCCTATGCTGTATTTGGGTGTTTAGACTCTATCCTTTAGGGCTTTTGAAGAGTTTTAAGCAAGGATGGGACATGGTCAGCTTTCTGTTTTGGAAAGATCTTTCCGCCCATGGAAAATGGATTTGAGTGGGGTGTCCAGGGGGAGCGGCAAGGCCAGATGTAGGACTGATTAATATCCAGATGGTTGTGGGAGAGGAGAAGGCATCTGGGCTGATTCCCCCAGTTCCCATGTGATCCCATGGAGGATCACAGTGGCTGTTCATCCAGCTGGGGAATTCAGTAGAAGGAGCCAGTTTGGGTGGAGGAGAGGAGAGGTGACTGGGGTGATCACTAAGCATGGTTCTGGACTTGAGTTGGAGGCTTCACTGTGCTTTCTGGGCTCTTGTAGATTGGTGAGCGAGGAGCCAACCTGAGTGGTGGGCAGCGCCAAAGGATCAGCCTTGCCCGGGCCTTGTATAGCGACCGGGACATCTACATCCTGGATGACCCCCTCAGTGCCTTAGATGCCCATGTGGGCAACCACATCTTCAACAGTGCTATCCAGAAGCACCTCAAGTCCAAGACGGTTCTATTTGTTACCCACCAGTTACAGGTATGGTGCTTTCTGCCCCAGGCTGCCTACCTTAGCTTAGGAAATCAGAAACAGGGAGGTGCGCTTGGTCCGGGTAACCTGCGTGGGGTGCTCCCTAGAGGTTCCTGGAATCATCAGTGTTCATTTCCTCAGCAAATAGCCCCCTGGCCCATTATATCAATAAAGTTAGTTGTACCAGTGTACCAGATGGCCATCTGAATCAGAAATCTTTGAAGCATGTTAGCTTCTGCATATAAATCAGTAAGTAAAAGGGCTGAGAAGAGTAGGCTGAAAATGGAGTTTGGGTATGAGATGGTTTGGAAAGAATTGTGTTAATAGCTCCATGCAAGTGGGAACTGTTTAGGGAAAACAAGCTCTTCTCCCTCTATCGTTCCATGACTAGCAGCCACTTTGGAGGCAGCTCAAGGATATTGCCATCTGTTTTGCATATGCTGTCAAGTTTAGGGGGCTAACCCTCCATTCTGCCACAGAAAGTCTGTAATTATGTATGTTTCTGAGTGCAGTGAAAGGGTGTGAAGTTTCATGCAAGGCTCATGTGGCTCCATCAGCAGATTTATGTCAAAAACGGGAGGAACTGCTCTTTGAACTACTTCTCAAGGCACAATAAACTAAAGCAGGTGTTCTCAGTCTTGGCACTATTGACATTTGGGGCCAGTTAGCTGTTTGTTGAGGGGGGCGGGGATGTCCTATTCGTCCCTGGCCTCTACCCACTAGATGGCATTGGTACCCCTCCCCCGAACTGTAACAACCAAAAAGGTCTCCAGATATTGCCAAATGTCCCCTGGGAGGCTCAGTCGCCTCCACAAGAGAACCGCTGAACTAAGGTATGGGTGTTTGGATGTATTTGCACAAATACCAGCAACACTCTGTTGTCCCTGCCTTTGTCTCCAGTACCTGGCTGATTGTGATGAAGTGATCTTCATGAAAGAGGGCTGTATCACAGAAAGAGGCACCCATGAGGAACTGATGAATCTCAATGGTGATTATGCTACCATTTTTAATAACCTGTTGCTGGGAGAGACTCCCCCAGTTGAGGTAAGATTCCTGTGGCTTTTGTGTGTATCTCCTCCTTTCTAGCAAGGGAGACATGACTGTAGTGAGTGATGAAGACATCTCAGCTGAACTCAGTGTCTGGCTCATATTGGCAGGGGCTCTATTTTCTGGTGACCAGACTGCTGTGTTTTAGTTCACCTACTGGTTCCACTCTAGGAGAGCAGGATTATGGGATCGGTCTTCTGTCACTGAGAACTTGTTAATAAGGCAATGACAGGGAGAAGGATATGGGCTCAGTATGTGCTGTTGTTCAGCCATAACTTAGTTTCAAAAACTTCATCAATCCTGATTGAAGCATTATGAAGCTCTTTTCTTAATCAACAAGTGAATAAAGAGCCAAGAAAGAGAAATTAAATATTGCATACATTTGAAAATGATCCATGGTATCTTGGCTGCTGACTTGGTGCTCATTAGCTAACACCCACTGTGTCCCAATTACTGGATTAGGCATTTTATAGATGTCATCCTCTTTAGTCATTTTAACAGAGCTCTGTGACAAAATGTGATTATCCCCCACTTTTACATCTGAGGAAACGGAAGCTCAGAAGAGTTAAGCAGCTTGCTAAGAAGGGCAGTTTAACTCCAAAGTATCTTTCTGCCATGCTGCCCTGCCTCCTGTGGCAACACAGAAAGATGGTGGCTTTCCATGGCTTTACTCTGGCTCCGAGTCAGGCAAAGGCAAAAGTTGGAGCCTTTAGCTTTAGTTGGAGCTAGCCAAAGAAGTTGTTTTTCCTGCTCGCCAACCTGCTCTCATATTGAACTCCTTATTCTGTGGTCACCTTGGGTCCTGGGGGTGCACTCAGGCTGGGCTAAAAGCTACCTCTTAGCTACCAGGTCATTTTGATGTTTGAGTGAGAGAAAAGCAGACAGTTGTTGGGACCTTTTCTGGGAGTCTTATTTCAGTCTTTGGGTGTCATCCTGTTTGATTTCAGGTACAGTACAACTGACTGTTCATGACTGATGTGTTTTAGGCCTTTTGGTGCAACTCAAACACTCCGGTTGTCATCAGTAACTTCCATAGAGACAACCTGAACCAGATTTGGATTTATGATCTCTCCCTATGACTCTCAGAGTACTTTGGACTCTTCAGATTATTTCCTCCTCACTGTAGATGTGGAGGGGAAAATGAGAGGGAGAGAAGCTAAAATATGAAACGTCCAAGGAACAAAAGAATATGGAGGGTCCATGTGCTGTAGTGGAGGAGCAAGCCTTCAGTATGTCGCTTAACTTTCCTGAGCTTCAGTTTCCTAATCTTAAAAATGGGAATGACACTTGCCTCTTAGAGTTGTTGCATCAGTTAAATGAAATAATATTTAATGTTCTTACTCTAGTTAGTGTCATCAAATGGTAATTTTCTCTTTAGACAGTGCATTTATTCATACACTGCAGTAAATATAAAATTTAGAGACCTATCTGGGTTCCGGTTCAAGATGGCTCTGTAGGAAGATCTTGAATTCATCTCCTCCCACAGACATACTGAGTCCACAGCTACATATGGAACAATTTCCTCTTAAAAAAACCTAACTTGATTGAGTGACAACTAAACATTGGGCGAACAAGAAGAAAACCACACTGAAGCATGTAGGAGACGCTGGGACACGATCTTGCCATAAACCCCACCCCCAGCGTGGCAACCCACACTGGGAGGGAACTCAAAACCTGGAGCTTCTCCCTGAGGAGAAAAGGATCCCAACCCACACTGGGCATCCCAACTTTTAAGACATACACTTGAGAGACGAGCCCCCAAAACATCTAACTTTGAAAACCAATAGGGCTCACGTACCCAGACCCACAAGATTGATGCGATCTGAGAAACTGCTCTTAAAGGGCTTGTGTGCTCGGACTCACCCGCCCCAGGGCCCAGCTCAGCCGCAGCCAACTGCACCCAGACTTAAAGTGAAGGAGACTCACTTGCTTATATTAAAGCATTGGCCTGAGGGCCAGGCGTCTAATTTAACACACACATCTAGGAGCCTGCTGGAACACTCTCCAGGGTTGCAAAGTGGCAGGTACCATCTTCACGCTCTTCCTTTGCCGTGTCCCAAAGCATCAGTATCTCCAGAAGGGGAGCTTTTGCATGCACCTGGTGCCACAATTTTTGCAGTTGCCACCTGGAGGATGCCTCTTGGTCACCTGGCTCTGGAGGCCAGGGGAGCCTGCATTGTTGGTCCTTTGGGACTGTAATAATCAGTGTCACCAAGAAAGGAGCTCATATCCCTATCTGGCACCCTGATTTTTGTGACTACTGCTAGGGGACCACTCTACGTCGCCTGGCTCTGGTGGCCAGTGGGGCTTGCTTGTGGGTCCCACAGGACTATAACCAACTGAGAAAGATTTCTTAAACAGCTACTCCCCCCGGGGCGCAACAAGTGGCAACAGACTCAGGAGCTCAATCTTTCTGTGAAGAAGTCTTATTAGCTTAATCATTATGACTGCAGTGTAATTAAGGTAATTAAACACGCTTGGCCTGGAGCTTTGGCCTGAGGGGCAGGCTTCAGGTTTGGTACACATTTAGTGACCTACAGAGCTGCTCTTAAGGAATGTAGGCTGTGGACGCCATCTTGGCACTCTCCCTGTGCCTTGCTCCAGCTCACCAGTATCCCCCAGAAAAGACTTTATACCCACTCATCTGGAGCCCTGTTTCCTGCAATTGCTGCCTAGGGCACACTTGCAGATCACCTGGTGGCCAGTTGGCCTTATACTTGTGGGCCCACAGGACTGTATATATTTGCATACTTTTAAAAGCTGATGCCTAAGGATCTGGCTTCCAGACAGCCTGAATCTAAGTGCTGAAATCCTTTTGTTTGGGACACTGACAGGTCTTGGCACATCCTCAACTGCTGGGAACTATTAAAAATATAATAGGCTGCTTGGACAAGCACAAAGGTTGGAGAGACAACAAAGAGCTAAGGCAGGGTTGAATGACAAGTTTCACCTCCTACATGAGGCTACTCCTTCAAAACTGAGAGAAGTGGTTGTTTCATTTACTGCATAGAAACCAACACAGAGCATCAAGCAAAATGAAACAGAGGAATATGTTCCAAACAAAAGAGCAAGATAAAACCTCAGAAAAAAACCTTAATGAAACAGAGATAAGTAGTTTACCTGATAAAGAGTTCAAGGTAACGGTCATAAAGATGCTCACCAAACTGGGGAGAAGAATGGATGAACAGAGTGAGAACTTCAACAAACAGATGGAAAGTATAAGGAAGTACCAAACAGAAGTCACAGAGCTGAAGAATACAATAACTGAACTGAAAAATCCACTAGAGGGTTTCAACAGCAGACTAGATGAAGTGGAAGAAAGGATCCATGAACTTGAGGACAGGGCAGTGGAACTCACCCAATCAGAGCAGCAAAAAGAAAAAAAAATGAAAAAAAGTAAAGATAGCTTAAGGGACTTATGCGATGATATCAAACAACCTAACATTCACATCATAAGACTCCCAGAAGGAGAGGAGAGAGAAAGGAACAGAAATCTTGTTTGAAGAAATAATGACTGAAAACTTCCCTAACCTGGGGAAAGAAACAGATATCCAGATCCAAGAAGCCCAGAGAGTTCCAAATAAGAAGATGCCAGAGAGCCACACCAAGACACATTAAAATTAAAATGTCAAAAGTGGAAGACAAGGGGCCGGCCCCGTGGCTTGGTGGTTAAGTGCTCGCGCTCCGCTGCTGGCGGCCCGGGTTCGGATCCCGGGTGCGCACTGACACACCACTTCTCCGGCTATGCTGAGGCCGCGTCCCACATACAGCAACTAGAAGGATGTGCAGCTGTGACATACAACTATCTACTGGGGGTTTGGGGGGAAAAAATAAATAAATAAAATCTTAAAAAAAAAAAAAGTGGAAGACAAGAAGATAATATTAAAAACAAGAGAAAAACAACTTGTGTTAGTGGATGTTACCTCACAGCGAATCTTCCTCAGCAAAAAAAAAAAAAAAAAGTATTAGCAAACCAAATTCAACAATATATTAAAAGAATCATACACCATGATCAAGTAGGATTTATTCCAGGGATGCAAGGATGGTTCAACATTCTCACATCAGTCAATATGATACACCACAGTTAACAAAATGAAAGATAAAAATCATGTGATCATCTTAATAGATGCAGAAAAAGCATTTGACAAAATTCAACATCCATTTATGATAAAAACTCTCAACAAGTGAGTACAAAAGGAATGTACCTCAACAAAATAAAGGCCATATATGACAAGCCCACAGCTAACATCATATTCAGTGGTGAATAGCTGAAAACTTTTCCTCTAAGATCAGAAACAGACAAGGATGCCCACTCTCACTGCTTTCATTCAACACAGTATTGGAAGTCCTAGCCAGAGCAATTAGGCAAGAAAAAGAAGTAAAAGGCATCCAAATTGGAAAAGAAGAAGTAAAACCTTCACTATTTGCAGATGGCATGATATATATAGAAAACTCTAATGACTCCATTAAAAACTGTTAGAATTAATAAATTCAGTAAAGTTGCAGGATTCAAAATCAATACACAAAAGTTTGTTGCATTTCTATATACTAATAAGGTACTATCAGAAAGAGAAATTAAGAAAACAGTCCCATTTACAATTGCATCAAAAAGAATAAAGTACTTAGGAATAAATTTAACCAAGGAGGTGAAAGACCTCCTTATTGAAAACTACAAGACATTAAAGAAAGAAATTGAAAAAGACATAAATAAATGGAAAGATACTCCATGCTCATGGAATAGAATAATTAATATTGCTAAAATGTCCATACAACCCAAAGCAATATATAGATTCAATGCAATCCCTATGAAAATTCCAGTGGCATTTTTCATAGAACTAGAACAAATAATCCTAAAATTTGTGTGGAACCATAAAAGACCCCAAATAGCCAAAGTAGTCCTGAGAAAGAAGAACAAAGCTGGATGCATCATGCTCCTTGATTTCAAATTATATTATAAAACTACAGTAATTAAAACAGTATGGTATTGGCATAAAAACAGACACATAGGTCAATGGAACAGAATAGAGAGTCCAGAAATAAACCCATGGTCAATTAATTTATGACAAAGGAGCCAAGAATATACAAGAAAGAAGAGAAAGGACAGGGAAAGGACAGTCTCTTCAATAAATGGTGTTGGGAAAACTGGACAGTCACATGCAAAAGAATGAAACTAGACCACTATCTTACATCATACACAAAAATTAACTCAAAATGGATTAAAGACTTGGACATAAGACCTGAAAATATGGTCAGGAAGCTCCTTGATATAGGTCTTGGCAATGATTTTTTGAATCTGACACCAAAAGCAAAAGCAAAAATAAACAAGTGGGACTACATCAAACTAAAAAGCTTCTGCACAGGAAAGGAAACCATCAACAAAATGAAAAGGCAATCTACTGAATGGGGTAAAATATTTGCAAATCGTCTGATAAGGAGCTAATATCCAAAATATGTAAAGAACTCATACAACTCAATACCAAAAAAAAATCAGAAGCTCTGGGGGCCGGCCCAGTGGCATAGTGGTTAAGTTCGCATGGTCTGCTTTGGCGGCCCTGGGTTCACAGGTTCGAATCCCAGGCGTGGAGTGGTGCACCACTCATCAAGCGATGCTGTGGCAGGCATCCCACATACAAAATAGAGGAAGGTGGGCACATATGTTAGCTCAGGGCCAATCTTCCTCAGCAAAAAGAGGAAGATTGGCAACAGATGTTAGCTCAGGGCCAGTCTCCCTCACCAGAAACAAAAAAAAAAATCAGAAGATCTGAATAGACATTTTTCCAAAGAAGACATACAGATGGCCAACAGGTACATGAAAAGATGTGCTACATCATTAATCATCAGAGAAATGCCAGTCAAAACAACAGTGAGTTGTCACCTCACACCTGTTACAATGACTATCATCAAAAAGACAAGAAATAACAAGTGTTGGCAAGGATGTGGAGAAAAGGGGACCCTTGTGCGCTGTTGGTGGGAATGTAAATTGGTGTAGTCACTATGGAAGACAGCATGGAGGTTCCTCAAAAAATTAAAAATAGAACTATTATGATCCAGTAATTCCACTTCTGGGTATTTATGCAAAGAAAATGAAAACACCAACTTGAAAAGATATATTCACCTGCATGTTCATTTCAGCATTATTTATAATAACCAAGATATGGAAACAACCTAAGTGTCTATCAATGGATGAATGGATAAAGAAAATGTGATACACACACACACACACAGGAATATTATTCAGCCACAAAAAAGAATGAAATCTTGCCATTTGCAGCAACATGGATGGACTTCGAGGGCGTTATGCTAAGTGAACTAAGTCAGAGAAAAATCCTTAGCATATGATCTCTTATATGTGGAATCTAAAAATAAATAAATAAATTTGTTAAAAAACCAAGCTCATAGTTACAGAGAACAGTTTGGTGGTTGCCAGAGGCAGGGGCTGGGAGGTGGGATAAATGAATGAACTGATTTGTTTTTTGTTTTAGTTGAAATAAATTGAATTTAAAAAATTTAGAGCCCTATCTTGTGTTCCAAATGTGGCTCTAAAGTTTATATTATTTTCTGATTTTTTTCGCTATCAATTTAAAAAGTCTAGTTGGAGAGCAAAGTGGGGTCATGAGGCTGACTATGACATAGAATTAAATGTAGTAAAGTATATTAAGAGAATTTCCTATATAAAGATATAAGAGGAACTTGGAAAGGAGACCATTAAGTAGTTTCTATTTTCTCAGGTTCAATTTGATGAATATTTATAAAGTTTCTGTGTGCCCTATGCTGGGCAGTCCGGGTGCTAGGCCTTGTGTAGGTTATAACTGTGCGTGAGACATCATTTCTGTCCTTGAGGGACTCACAGTCTCCTAGGGAAGACCAATGCACTTATGCTTTTACAGGGAACTGTAACACCAGGTCACATTTATAGCAGCGTGCTATAATAGAGTACCGACCAAGTGCCTGGGAGAACTGGGGAGGGGTGAGCCTTATTCTAGAGGAGACTAAGTTGCCTTAGGGAGGATGTAAGATTTGAATCCCTCTGAATGAGGACAACTGTGACTGAGTTGGGACGAGGGAGGGGCATTTCAAGTGAAGAGCACGGGAATGGGAGAGGAACTTGCAGAGTTAGACTGAGGCCAGAATGTGGAGGTCTTGCAAAAGCAGGCTGAGAAGTTTGAGTTTATCCCGTGGTAGCAGTGGAAAATGATCAGATCTATGATTTGATTAGTGATGTGGCGATCAGAGAAGCGAGGAACGGAAATGACCCCAGCCCTAATACTTTGGTCAGGTCGGAGTGGGTAAGAACGGCATAAAGGCTACTGTGTTTGGAGTTTAGGGCTTTAGTGACTTTAGAGAGAGCAATGTCAATTGGATAACAGGGTAGCAACCCAGATCTCAAAGATTTAAGGAGTTGAGGAAGTACAAGAAATGAGTATAGGTGACCCTTTTAAGAAGTTGTATGTATCTCTTCTCAATAATAGCAGCAGCTCAATAGACGAGTCTCTAATACGTCCTTTGGGCTTTTGTCTGAATGGCCATATCATGACTGGAGACACTTTTTTAATTAGATTAATTCAAAAAAGGAAACCAGTGGTTCACAGAAGAAAACCCAAGAGAAGGGTCCTAAAACAGGATCAGTAAAGAAGGAGAAAGCCGTGAAGCCAGAGGAAGGTAAGGACCTTTTTGAGATTTTAGATTTGTCATTAAAGTTTATCAGAAATTATGCCATGTGGTAATTCATGATGTTTGATAGCATTGTGTGTTGTAGAGTATCTGGCCTTGTAATTCTGGGATGACAAAATTCTTGTGTAATATTAGGAGACCATGGGGCACCTTCTGTTTGCTTAAAGAGACCCAGGTGATAAGAGTGACCTTTCATCTTGTGCCTTCTCTTCCTCTTCGGGGTGGGGTCAGGTGTAGGTAGTCATAGCTGAGTCATCTTGAGTAAGGAAACACTGAATGGTGGGTAGAGGTGTACCCTTCCTTCCTGTGATTCACCTCTGCTCTTTAAAAGCCAGTGCCAACCAGGGCAGAGGCGTTCTGGCTCCAAGAATGCCCCCGTCCTTAGTAGCTCCTGTTAGAAGGATTTGCTCCTCGGCCTGTCGTGATGAGACTGCAGCAGGACTGTGCTGAGGACTTACAGCTAGGGTTTTTCCTCCTTGACTTTCCCTGTGCAGAGTCCTTGGTCCTGTTTTTTAAACCCTTTGTCTTATCAACTGGAACAAATCTTGGGAGTTAGAAATGGTATTTGGAATACCTTAGGCGTTTTCACCTTTGTGAATTTTAAGCTGCATGTCAGTTTATCGAAAAAAAAAAAAAAAGGAAAACATGCAGTCCTGTTTTAAAGCTCTTTTTATTGTGTCACCTCCTCACCTGATGTTTTTTATTGAAGTGTAGTTGACATACAACATTATGTTAGTTTCAGGTGTAACTCACCTGACGTTTTGAATCCAGGCCCTTTCCTGGATTTGCCACGATGGGCCTGTTTTCACTTCCTCGTTCTTAAGACTGCAGCAAGTGTTGGGTGTTAGGAGTTAACCCTCCTGATTCACCACTCTCTTCCTCTTTTCTTTCTTTTTTTTTTTTTGTGTGTGTGTGGAAGTTCAGCCCTGAGCTAACATCTGTTGCCAATCCTCCTCTTTTTGCTGAGGAAGACCAGCCCTGAGCTAACATCCGTGCCCATCTTCCTCCACTTTATATGGGACGCTGCTGCAGCATGGCACCACAGCATGACGGTGCATCAGTGCGTGCCCAGGATCCGAACCCTGGGCCCTCACAGCGGAGCACGAGCACTTAACCGCTATGTCACCGGGCCAGCCCATCTTTTCTTTTTTTAATAAGCCACGTATGAGATTTTGACTTTAGGTGTAATTTAAGATAACCTTACTCTCACAGCACACAAAAACAGCACAAAAGGCTGAGACATCTGTCAGTTCCTGCCACAAGCAGTATAAAAAAACAGAATATCCTTAGAAAACATTTGTTCTCATCTACATAGCACTAACCTGGAGACTCACAATTCTTAAAGTGCTCATGGTGTGTGTGGCTTGTTTCAAGATAATTAAACATCATATGTGATAAAGAGGCAGAGGCTTCCGGTAGGGCTGTTTCTCTGTAGTCTCCCATCAGCGTCAATCATCTGACCACCCTAGGGAGCCCCAAGGAGATATCCTGGAACCTCTTCTCTCCTCCTACAGCCAATCACTATGTCTTACTGAATTTACCTCCTGAAATTCCGTCTCCATTGCCACGACCCTGGTTGTGGCCTTTATCATCTCTTACCTAGAGTGTTAACAGCTGCCTCCTTTTAAATCTGTCCTCCACGAAGACAGCTGAGAGAGCTAGTTAAAAATAGGAGACCAACCAACCCACTTGCCTGCGTGAAGCCTTTCAGTGGCCTTGCATTTTCAAAGCAGTGTTTTCTAATCTTTGTCCTGATATGGCACAAATAGAAAATGCCATTATTTGTATGGGACACTGGGTTGCATGGAAGAGGCTGCTCACTGCCAGAGGTGACTGGTCTGGCCATCCAGGCCCACCTAATAGGGCCAGGGAGTCAAATCTCCACACACACCCATAGCCCATTCTCTTGAGAAGTTCTTGTCTGAAGGATCAAGTTCAAATGCCTTTATCCTCTCACCACAGCCTGCTTAACCAACCTAATCTCCTGTCACTCTTTATGTGCATGTAATCTAGCCATGCTAAACTGGCTGTCTGTACTTACTGTTTTGCTGTTTCCCACCTCTGTGCTGGTGCTGATGTATTTCCTCTGCCCCTATTTTTCTCCCCTTGGCCCACTCTGGCTTCCTTTTGAGATGCAGTATGGACTGCACAGAAAGTCTTCCCTGAAACCTTCCTGCTAACCACCCCACAGCTCCCCAAGTAGGGTAGGCACACCTCCTGGGTGTTCCCATCCTGCCCTGCATAGAGATCTAGTATTGCATTTAGCACATTTTACTATAATTATGTGGGGGTTTTTGTTGTTTTGTGTGTGTATGTGTGTGTATGTGTGAGGAAGATCAGCCCTGAGCTAACATCCATGCCAATCCTGCTCTTTTTGCTGAGGAAGACCGGCCCTAGGCTCTGTGCCTATCTTTCTCCACTTTATATGGGACAATGCCACAGCATGGCCTGACAAGCAGTGCATTGGTGCCTGCCTGGAATCCGAACCCCGGCCACCAGTGGCGGAGGGCGTGTACTTAACCGCTACGCCACGGGGGCCAGCCCCTCTGTGTTTATTTATCTATCTGTCCTTCTAGACTGTGGAAGGATCCTTAGCCAGATCTCAAGGGCAGGGACCTGGTCTTAATCCTCTTTACTGCTCCAGGGCCTCATCCTGGGCCTGGTTCACAGTAGGTGCTTAATAAATGTTAAATGGATGAACAAAAGCTTCTGATGAAGAGGAAATAATTCTAATATAGGGCCCTGTGAAACTATGGGCTCTCTTTGATTCTGCTCTTCTATCAGTGACTTAGTTTTGGAAAGGTAGCTTTTTCCTCCTGAGTTCGTGTTTCTTTTTTTCTCACCTAGGGCAGCTCGTGCAAGTGGAAGAGAAGGGGCAGGGTTCAGTGCCCTGGTCAGTATATGGTGTCTACATCCGGGCTGCTGGGGGCCCTTTGGCATTCCTGGTCATCATATCCCTTTTCATGCTGAACGTGGGCAGCACCGCCTTCAGCAACTGGTGGTTGAGTTACTGGATCAAGCAAGGAAGTGGGGTAAGGTTACTCATTAAGGGGAAAATTACATGTCTAAGAATATGGCCATCTCTCTGTATTCCCTGTGATTCTTAGGGAAACTGCTCTAGTTTTCAATTAAAAAAGCAATGAACAAGGATTACCTAGGATGAAAAGATGAGTCTCTAACGTAACCTCAGAAGATAGTGCTCCCTGACCAACTCACGGGGCAGTAGGGCTTATCAGTAGCACACCTGTACCTGTCTGCCCTTGTCCATTAGAAAAGAGTGAAGAAGGGGAAAAACCTGCCTTGTGTTTGCCACAGCCAGGTCCCAGAGTCATTATCCTGCACCCTCCCTGAGCTGAGGATGGCCCTGAGGAGGGGTTCTTGGCTGTCCTTAGGAATCTGCCTCATAGAGCCTTGCCTCCAAACAGAACGCCACAGTGATGCAAGGGAACAAGACCTCTGTGAGCAGCAGCATGAAGGACAATCCCCTCATGCAGTACTATGCCAGCATCTACGCCCTCTCCATGGCAGTCATGCTGATCCTGAAAGCCATTCGAGGAATGGTCTTTGTCAAGGTATGCGGTGGTGGCCTCTGCTCCTCCTCTCCCTGATGACTGTGTGGTCAGACTTCTGCATGGCATCTCAGGTTTATTCTGAGTAGTGGGGCTCCTTTGAAGTAGGATGGCCCCAGCTGAAATGACCTGTATCCCATTAGCCTCAGCCTTTTCTTATTAGTCACCCCCTTCCTCCATGGCCATTTGCCCTTCAGCTTTGGGAGTAGATATCATGTGGAGTAGGACCTGAGCCTGCCTGAGTCCCTGGGTCCCTGAGCCCTGATCACTTTGTGCTCTGCTCCTTAGGGCACGCTGCGAGCCTCCTCCCGGCTCCATGATGAGCTTTTCCGAAGGATCCTTCGAAGCCCTATGAAGTTTTTCGACACTACCCCCACGGGGAGGATTCTCAACAGGTTTTCCAAAGACATGGATGAAGGTATTTCTCACCGCTTCTTCCTGTTATTTTCTGGAGCACAAGCTGGAGCTCACTGCTCTCCAGCCTTCTAGATGACTCGCCAGATGTGCAGATCTCTCCAGCCTTAGACTCTGAGAGCGCAGCGGCTGCTGGTGTTTGCACTAGGAACACTATAGTTTTGGCATTTTCTCCATATTGCAGCTTGTATTTAGGCTAAGGACCCATCTGATTTTTCACTCTTCATCTAAAAGTTCTTGTTTGATCTTATTTAACCTGAAAACAAGTTCAGAGGATTGAGTTAGTATAAAGGCTTGGGACAGGGGCATCTGAGATTCCAAAACACGTATTTACGTGTGGGTAGTGTAGGTAATGCATTGGTCCTGGACACTTACCACCTACAACCTCTGGCAGGTTTTCTGGATGCTGCCTGGGCTGTGCCAGCACCAGAACTTAAATACTCCCATAGCCCAGAATAATAGTAACGACCCCTGACACTTATTGAGGGCTTACTGTGTAACAAGCAGTGTGCTGAATGTTTTGCATTCGTTATCCTAATCCTCACAGCAGCCCTACGGGGTGGGTATTGTTTCACCCACTGAATACATGGGAAAGCTGATGTCTAGAAAGGTTGAATGACTTGCCCAAGATTGCACAGCTATTAGATAACAAACCTGGGAATTGAGCCCAGATCTTTTTACCCCAGAACTAATGTTTTTAACTACTGCCCTGTGCCGCCTCCATAGAAGTAGTGTGTTTCAGATGTTGATAGGCTAGTGTAAAGCCATGGCCAGAGGTAAGAAGGGATCAAAACCATCACTGATACATAGAGCTGATGCATGACATGATCCCATTTCTGCTAAACACACGTGCACAGACAAATAGAGAAAAGACTGAAAGAAAAAATCAGTGGTATCAACACGTCTGGGATTTGCATGAAAATATTCCAGCCAAAAAGAAAAAAAACGAGGGAGAGGAGATAGCCAAAAGGAGACGAAGAAAATATTGATAATTGTTGGATATTCTCTTGGCTTTTGTGTGTGTTTAAAACTTTCCATGATGAAAAATTTCTTAAATCTTAGCAGCAGTTCATTGGTATTGGTAAGAATAAAGATTATGTTTATTTTCTTTTTTGCATATTTATTTTCCAAATATTCTACAACAAGCAAGTATTACTTTGTAAAGGGGAAAAAAATGTTTAAAGGAGTTGGGCAGCATAGTGAACCAAAAAGAGGACCCAGAGAAGAAAGACCATCTGAATTTTCTTGGGACAAGAAAAATTAGAGCAACCAGGTTTCCAGATTTTTCTTTGATCAGACTGTTTAGAAGACAACACACAAATTTCAGATAGGGATTTTGGGAACCTCTTTTACTTTTCTTAAATTTTTGGTTCTGTTTTCCCTTGCGGATCCCAACAGTCTGACACTTGTTGCTTTACGGTTTCCCCAGTCGACGTGCGCCTGCCGTTCCAGGCCGAGATGTTCATCCAGAATGTCATCCTGGTGTTCTTCTGTGTCGGAATGATCGCAGGGGTTTTCCCATGGTTCCTCGTGGCAGTGGGGCCCCTCTTCATCCTCTTTTCAGTTCTGCACATTGTCTCCAGGTAAACAGGAAGTGTTCATGTCTTCCAGGGCCAAGGATGAAGCCAGAGTTGCTAGTCTATCGCTCTGACAAAGAACTCATTCTCTCTCCAGGGTCCTGATTCGAGAGCTGAAGCGTCTGGACAATATCACGCAGTCGCCATTCCTCTCCCACATCACGTCCAGCATACAGGGCCTTGCCACCATCCATGCCTACAATAAAGGGCAGGAATTTCTGCACAGGTCAGTGCTGATGGGGGCCAGAGGGCTCAAAGGGGAGCCAGCAGCCCAGCACTTAATAAGACTCTAAATTACCTTTCAAGGCCGGAGTTAGAGATTATAAAGCTCATTACTTAATATTTAAAGTATACTATATTTTTTATACTATATTTAAAGTATTAGTGATTTAGTGGTCTTTGATTAAAATTCACTTGCTTCCTGGAACTCCCTTCTGAGCAAATGAGATGACAAAAACACAGGTTTGGAGCCTATTGGCTTTTGGCTCTGAATGGCTACATTTGATGGAGTTTTGCTTTTTTTTTTTTTTTTTTTGGAACAGTGAAAGATAGTCATTGAAATTAGACTGACATTTTACTTAGCTGTTGAATATTGTTTATATGAGAAATTTATGTACATTCTGGAGATTTGTATTAAGAAGAGATTGGAACTAACCTAAATGTCTTTTAATAGAGGACTGGTTAAATAAGCTATGGCATCCCCATGTAGTGGAATAGTATGTGGCCCTTAAAAAGAATGAAATAGCTCTGTAGGTATTGCTATGGAGTGATCTCTCAGGTATATTAGTGAAAGAGCAAGGTACAGATGGGTGTGTATGGTATACTCCCTTTTAAGTATGTGCTTGTATGTGTAACATTTAGAATATCTATGAAAGGATACACAGGAAACTGATAGTTGCCACTGGAAAGGGGAACCGAGTAGCTTGGGGATGGGCAGGAGAAAGAGTGACTTCTCTTGGAAAAACCTTTTACATATTGTATTTTGTACATATATTATCTATTCCAAAAATTAAGTAATTCATTTTGAAAAGAAAATCTAGAATAGAAAGGTTAGATTAAATGACTCAGATAATACATCCTTACTTTAAGTGAAAAAAAGTAAAATACACTATGTACACGTGTATATACATACACACGTAAATGTGAGTGCATTGAAAAAAATGCTGGGAGGAAATGCAGCAGAAGGTTAACCTTGGTTTTCAGTGAGTGGTGAGAATAGTGGACTTTTGCATTTTCCTCTTCTTTGTTGCATTTTCTAAATTTTCTCTAAAGAACACATATCTTGTGTAGGGAAGAAACATGATTTTATTTTTAGCACTTCCTGCTCTGGAGTTCTAATTGTGTGTGGCACCTGAGCCTTCAGGTGGGGTCTGACCTGCTCTCTAGGACCCCTAGTGACAGTAATGTCTCGATCCTTCAATGGCAAAGGTTGTCCAGGTCTTTTTTGCTGTGGTTTAGCTCGCTGCTCCTGGTTCTTTGCTCCATGGCCTTGGGAAACAAGTACCATTCTGCCCAGCAGTGGTGCGTCAGTAGGTGATTTTCTGCTTCCCCATATTCAGCCTGAGAGTTTCTTTTTCCTAGTCTTGGGTCATTTCTGCAGTTTGCCTTTGTAACTTCTCCTTCTTTGAGAAAATGACCCCTGACCTAAGACATTTTTCTAAAGCTTAGTACAGCCTCTGTTTGATCTCCTTCTCCTATGCTTTCCCTATGCTGTTGAAGTATGTATTTTTTCCTAACATCTTGAATAGTTTCTTTGAAAGAACCCCATCTTCCTATGTGTGGAGCCTGGAATACTCTGTACTTTTTAAGTTTCCATATCATTCTCGTACTTACAAATAGAAGGACTTAAATATTAGCCTTCCAACCATAGTTCACCAAAGCTTTGACATCATCCATGACCAGTGCTGTGTGGTACTTTATTTGCCTATTTGGTATTCTGTCTTCCTCACAGGTACCAGGAGCTACTGGATAACAACCAAAGTCCTTTCTTCTTGTTCACGTGTGCGATGCGGTGGCTGGCTGTGCGGCTCGACCTGATCAGCATTGCCCTGATCACCACCACTGGGCTGATGATTGTTCTCATGCACGGGCAGATTCCCCCAGCCTACTCGGGTCTTGCCATCTCTTATGCTGTCCAGGTCAGTCTCTGGGATGGGGACCTCATCTTGCCTCATTAGAGTCCTTCCTTTGTTGGCCTAGGAGAGGCATGGTAGGGGGCTCAACACTACGCCACCATTTCACCTCCCTTCTCCTGGTCTGCTTTGGCAGTAACAATCTGTACTTGGCTGGGGCAGGTAGGATGGGAGAGAGGTAGGAGTGGTTTATAGGAATAAAGGGATTTAAGTCTGTTGCATGTGTTTAAGAACTAGGTGCTGTTTTCTTCATAAATAAACATGATTTTGAAAATAGTTTCTTAATTGTGGGTTTCTGTGTTCACCACCCTTTCATCTCTGGCCTCTTCCTCGTCTTCTAAGAAATACTATATCCTCAGTATACTTCTTCTGTGCATTTTATTTTCAGGCCCCTGGTTTTCCCAATACTGTTACATATGTAAACCCTTCTGGTCCCTAGGGCTGGTTGAAGGTCTTTAAATAGCTCAAAGAACAATTGGGAACTTGAGCACTGACTAGATATTTGAAGATGTTAAAGAATTAGTATTAATTTTTTAAGATGTGATAGTGGTACTGTGTTTTTAAAGAGTCTTTATGTTTTAGAGAGATACAAGCTAAAATATTTAAGGATAAAATCTTAGGCTGTCTGGGATTTACTTCCAAATAATACAGAGGGATAGGGTGGTGTAGATGAAAGAATTTTGGCTATAAGTTGAAAATTTTTTAAGATGGATGTTTGGTACATGGGAGTTCATTATACTGTCTTCTCTACTCTTGTATTTGTTTGACATTTTTCCTTATTGGAAAGATAAAAATTAATAAGTAACCAAAGGAAACCCAAGAAGAGTTGTGTATCTTCACAGATACCCAAAGACGTTATGCAGACTTACTTGATTATTGAATGGGGAAGAATACATATTATATATACAGTGTTTCAGAATCCTCAGTCTGAGGTGCACAGGGACTCTGCATGCCCTTTTTGCCTAGCCTTATTATTTGAGTTTCCTGGAAGCATTCCCACTAATTGCTCACAGGTTAATATATATTTCCATTTGTCGTGACTGCCACAGCAGGTGCAGGTACAAGTATGATGCCAGAAGTTATTCAGCTACAGATATGTGTTACTGGAAATGTAAAGATGGATGGAGAACCTTTGGATACAGGAAAGTTAGTGCCAGCAGTGCCACAATGCCACCTGCATTCATTGAGAATTGTAGTTGACTGGGGGTTAATAGGCATTGTCTTAAATATTTAGAGAATGACTGAGTCCCTAAAATCGGCTGCTGCATGTGCCCAGTTAGTTCTTATGATTGAGTTGTGGTCCCCTAGATGAAGGAGATTTTCACTGTTAGCCCAGTGTGTATATATAATGAATTCTCTCTTGGATTTTTGCTTTCCATTATCAGTTAACGGGGCTGTTCCAGTTTACCGTCAGACTGGCGTCCGAGACAGAAGCTCGCTTCACCTCAGTGGAAAGGATCAACCACTACGTCAAGGTCAGGCTGCTCCAGGCCATTCACTGCGATCTGACCCTTCGTGGGGTTGTTTTACCCTTGTATTGCCTCAGGTGGATGTGCGAGAGGACTCTTGTGTTCTCTGCCTTATCTTATCCATGGGAGAGGACCAGCAGTCTCTCCAGCTGGAGATGTGTGGAATGGAGAAGAGAATATCATAACAGTTTCCAAACATATTTGTGAATTGTATCTGATTAAGAACTTATGTTCATCAGCTAATTTCCAAAATGTTCAGAATCTTGTTAGTTCAGTTAAGCTGACTAATGTAACATTTTCCTTACACTGTTTAAAACCATGTATTGTTTTAGATCTTAGTCTGGTTCACTTGTTCTTGACCAGGGTTGGCTGTCAGGATCCTCTGTTGAGCTTTAGGCAAAGGCAAACATGGGCCTCATCCCTGGAGGTTCTGGTGCAGTAGATCCCTCGCTAATTCTAAACTGCATTCACAGTTTAGAAACCAGTTAACTTAGCTGATACTGAGATTACCTGGCTCTTCCCACCTTCCCTCAGTAACCCCTGTGGTCTTGCTATGGGGCAGTGGCTTGCTGGTGTCCTAATTGGAACTCTGAAAGTAATTTTCTATTGAGAGAAGCAGAATCATGAGTAGCGAGGATTCTCAAATTTAGCTCAGTTCTCAGGAGTTAACCTATTTTGTGAACTGCCCGGACACTTTATCAGCTATTTATATCATTGTTTACATGGGAAGAATACATTCCAAGTTCCAAATAATTGACTTACAAACACGGTTTTGAAAAATGACCCTTTGTGTACAGCATGGTGACTAGAGTTAATAATATCCTGTTGTGTATTTGAAAGTTGCTAAGAGAGTAAATCTTAAAAGTTCTCATCACAAGAAAAAAATATTGTAACTGTATGGTGATAGATGTTAACTAGACTTATTTATGGTGATAATTTTGCAATATATACATATCTTGAATTATTATGTTCTACACCTGAAATGAATATGTCAATTATATCTTAATTTTTAAAAATAAGTTAAAGAAAAGAAAAGAAAAATGACCCCTTTCGGTTGAGAACTAGTATATTATGTAAACTGCATTTTCTAGGATTGTTTTGACAATGAACCTCACACTAGTCGTGGGATATTTCTTAAACTTACAAATGATTATTCTCAGAAGGAATGGCAGATAGCTGTCAAATATATCTGCTAATAACTATTCCTTTTGTTTATACATTAGCCTCTTTGCCCAATGCTCTTGTCTGTGGATGGGTATACATACAGGTGTGTAGTGTTTGATTTAATATCACTGTTAGTGAGAGTCTCTTGCTGGAGAGGTCAGGGTGATGGTCAGCCATGGTACAGAGTGGACCCTGCACAAGCCAGCCACATATCTGAGAACTGGCTCCCCGCTGCCAGTCCCCAACCTGGATGCCTGTCCCAACATGGAGTCCTTCCAGCTCGGAGTTTTAGGCTTCAGTTCCACACCCTCTGCCTGGAGCATGACAGTCTTTGGCCCTTACTTCCCTATAAAGCTAAAAGCCCCATGGTTAGTTGCCAGAGAGTTTTAAAACATTGCAGAGTACCACTGTTGGTAACAAAAATTACCCAAGCAGTTGTTTTAAACACAGCATTTTAAAGGTGGAATGGATTTCCAAGATTATGTAATCCCGTGCCTACAATTGCAAATGAGAAACGAAGATGTAGAGTGAAGAAGTGATATATCCAGATCACCCAGCTATGAGTGGCGGGTTTGGGAATAGAGTCCATGTCTCCTGGATTGACTGAGATATGTCAGAATGCCACAATCTGATTAAATGTTCGATAAATATTAGTTTCCTTCCTTTGGTTTAGACCAGTGTTTGTCAAAGGGTGGAATTCTGTTTTGAGTGGAATATTTTCAAAGAATTCCAGTAAAAACGGCTGTGATTGAAGAGGAGTGGAAGCCTCATGGCCTCCCATGGCCTCCCACCCTTGGCCTCCCAGGCAGTTTTGTGGAAGAATTCCTTAAGACGGAAGGCAGTTTGAAAGCCACTGCCCTCCCCAAGCTGCTGCTTAGTAGCTGTTGTAAACTGCTAAGTGTAAACTTTGTAGCCGTTGTACTCTGTCTAGTTTAGTGGTGATAAGCATTTACCGCCCAGGGAGTCTTTCACAGCAAGGGGACATGGTGGCAGCTGCCTCTGTGTGTCTATGGTTGTCTGGTTTTACTTCCCTATGACAAAGCCTTGCAGCTCCCGCGGAATCTGTGGTCAGTCTGAACCGGCCACTTCTGTCTCCCCAGACTCTCTCTTTGGAAGCACCTGCCAGAATTAAGAACAAGGCTCCCTCTCCTGACTGGCCCCAAGAAGGAGAGGTGACCTTTGAGAATGCAGAGATGAGGTACCAAGAAAACCTCCCTCTGGTCCTGAAGAAAGTGTCCTTCACCATCAAACCTAAGGAGAAGATTGGCATTGTGGGGCGGACGGGATCAGGTAAGGATATGCCGAGGCCTCTCTGGAGAAACGTTTGAACCTATTGGAGTTAACTTTGGGGCCCATGATTTGCTGTTTACTGAATATCACTCACATCCCTTCAAACCAGACCCCTATTAAATGAGTGATTGGTGTCTCAGGTGTCTCTGAAACCAATTTTCTAGGTTTATTTTCAACCCTGCTTTGATAACATTTAGCACTTTTTCTATTCATAGAAGTATACATTCTCAGTGCAGGACACTTGGAATATACAGCAAGTACAAAGGGGAAAAGGACCTGTAACTCAGCTCTCCAGAGATGATCACTATTAATATTTTGGTGGATATCTTGTTAGGCTTTTTCTATCAACAAATAATGTTTACAAAAATGGGATCCTTTCACACTGGCTCATGGCCTGCTTTTAAAATTACCAAATATATTTCATGTCAGTTAATATTCTATGATTTCTATGCTGCATGATATAAAATCCTATTTTATGGATGTACCATAATTTATATTTAACCAATAAATATATTTATATTTCTATGAAGTCAAAATATACAAAAAGTTTAAGGTCTCTGTGATATATTGCCAGTATAGCCTCATATTTATCAGCGGCTAACACAACTCTAAATAAGGAAACTATGTTCCTTTGAAGACAGAAATTATTTTCTTGATCTGATATCAGTTGCAAAGAAATAGAGAATGTGCCTTCATTTTAGGCATTTTACTTCACTCTTAATCTTAGAAGGTTATTACTGTATGCCCTTTAGATTTCTAGGGTCAAGACTTGAGTAATTAATTTCTTTCTCTCTTTCCTTCCTGAATAACATTTCAAAGACTGAGTCTTGTCTTCCGTTACTAACCTGTTTGCCCTTGGATCTGAGGTCTCTCTGAGTCAGTTCTCATCAGCTCTCTGCGCTCCACGCTTCCTTGGCATCAAAACTCTTCTAGCTTTTTTTCTTGCTATTAAAAAAAAAAGCCTCGTATCTTTTTGGCCAATTTACTTTAAAGAACCCACTAAGAAGAAAAGAAAAAGCCATTTCCTGCTTCCTGTTTGAAGGAATTATTTCACGTCAAAACAAGACACTGCCTCTAGGTTTTTACACTGGAAAGAGAATGTTCAGCCAAGGAGGATTACGGGCTGTCCCCAAAGTTCTTGTTTTGCTCTCTCCCTCAAATTCCTTGTGTTACATTGGCTCCCAGGGGCACACTGCTCTCTTGAAAGCTCTGACTGATGTCCCTTCCCATGATCTCCTTTTAACACAGGTGAGACAGGCAGAAATATTCACCAAGACTTAATTAAACCATAAATAGTGACAGAAGAGAAATAAACAAAAATAAAATAATTATAAATAGCCTGACTTAACAAAGTCTGAACTCTAATCCTAGTAAGCTTCTCCCAAGGCTCATAGACCCCTGGCTCTGCCGTGATCTCAATCAAGAACACCACCGTGAGGACTCATTGCCTCTTTTACCAGCACATTCCATCAATGCAAAGGTAGTCTAGATTCAGAGAAGTATAAAATCTTCCAGTCCAGGTGGCCCAAATCTAGGCATCTTTTGTTAAAGTGGAACAACTTGGCCCGTGTATTTGAGCACCATTCTTTCCTTAGCTTAGATCTTAAAACAAGCACTGTCTCAGCACTGAGGAAGGGTCTTCTGCCTTCCTTATATCTGGGTAAGGGGCCACTAACCAGATCCCCCAATCCCGACTACAGCCCTTCACTTCTAGGAGGAGAAGGCCTCATTAAGAACTGTCCTGCTACGTGGACTTGGATATCCCAACTCGTTTCTGGTAGAGGGATGTGAAGATTGCTGCCTTGGGAAGATGCATATTACTTGGAGTTCCCATTAGGTTGTTTGACAGGGACCTGCTCAGGGGACAAATCCCAGTAGTGGGGATGTGGCTGCAGACACTGGGGGCAAGGCGGGATATTTATACCCTCAGTGACTGCTGAGTAGACAGAGTCATGAGGCTCTCAGGAGAGGTCTTTCAGAACATGGAGGCAGGAGGAGGGTAAGGAGGGTCAAGAATCAGGCAGCCAGCTAAGGAAAAGTGATCTAACAGCTACAAACCTGTAGCTCTAAATCTAAACCATGGGTCTGAGTTGCAGAAAAGTAGACGGGACGATGTCAAGCTTTTCTTGGAGGGGGACACTATATTCAGAGAGCTTTTTAAATGTTTATGTCCTTTGACATAGTGATTTCAGTTTTGAGAATCTGTCTCAAGGAAATGAGGTAGGAGCAAAGTTTGAGTACTAACATGAACACCACAACATTGTTATAGTAAGTTTTAAATCAACTATGTGTCCGACGTTAGAGGACTGGTTAAGTAAGTAACAGTACGTCCACATGATGGAATATATTGCAGCCACTAAAATTTTATTTTTAAAAGTTTTTAATAATATGGTTGAGTGCTTGTTGTATAAAGTTAAATGTAAAAAGGCAATTACAATTTTTTATTTCTGGTATGATCTCAACTCTGAGAAAAAGACTGAAAGGAAATGTGTCAAAAATAACAGTAGTGTGATTATGGGAGATTGATATTAGCTTCTTGAATTACTTAAATAACTTTTAAAGTGAAGATTCGATTAAGAAAAGCTGTTCTGCTTATCACCATAATACTGAACTCATTATTTTATCCTCCAAACCTGCTTTTCTGCCACAGTTCCCTATCATGGCAGAGTCATCTGGCCACTCCTTGACTCAAGCCAACACCTCCTTCCCTTGCGTGTTTACCCGGGAACTTCTTCCATTCCCCAGCTGCTGTGGCAGCGATGGGAGGCCTTGTCTTGTTTCTCTCTCAGCTGCGATAAGGGGACAGAAAAGAGAGAAGACATCTTGTTCTCTGGTTTGCCCCTAGCTCTTTGCTGTAAGATCTCTGTTCTCCTCACTTTGCCCGAGAAGCATTAAAGCCTATGTACTCGTTCCTAAAGTGAAAAGGAGGCATTTTTCCATTTAAGTCTCATGAAAGTGTGGCAGTCCCTCCAAATTATTTTCAGGCTGAAGCTGTGTGATTTAAATGTGTATGCTTGGTAGCTCAGGAAAGTTCATCGTTTTTTTCTGTTTCTGGCTATCATTTTATACACTATCTCAGCTAATCAGTCAAAATAATAATTGAATAGAAATCGAAAAATAGATGATTTTGCCTTGAGAATAAACCAGTTTTGTCTTCACAGAATTTGCTAATTGAGCGACTTTTCTGCATGTCTTCTGACTCATCAGGGAAGTCCTCTCTGGGGATGGCCCTCTTCCGTCTGGTGGAGTTATCTGGAGGCTGCATCAAGATTGACGGAGTGAGAATCAGTGACATTGGCCTTGCTGACCTCCGAAGCAAACTCTCCATCATTCCTCAAGAGCCAGTTCTGTTCAGCGGCACCGTCAGGTGAGGATCTGAGCGCCCATGTGCTTCGTGCCTCATGTCAAGGTCAAGTGGGCATGGTAGAGCCTCCATCTGGCTCTCAGATCTCTTATCTGGGACTGAGATCTGAGACCTCTGGTCTAGTGCTTTCCCACTACGTCGTGTGCTTCCTGTTGCAGAAATAGGGGCAGCTCCACTGTACAAGCCACTTCATGAATTCTAAATAGGGCCTGGAGGCCCTGCAGCATGTTGGTAAAGCAGTCAGAGAGATCTGGGCTCAGATCTCTGCTCTGTGACTTCAGACAAGTTACTTGACCACTCCTAAGCTTGTTTCTTTATCCATAAAATGGGAATATTATTAAAACTTGTTGTGAAGACTGAATAAATTCACATAAATTTTTTTTTTGTGAGGAAGATCAGCCCTGAGCTAACATCCGATGCCGATCCTCCTCTTTTTTTGCCGAGGAAGATTGGCCCTGAGCTAACATCCGTGCCCATCTTCCTCTACTTTATATGGGATGCCACCACAGCATGGCATGACAAGTCGTGCATCAGTGTGCACCCGGGATCCGAACCCCCAATCCCCAGGCCGCTGAAGTGGAGCGTGCGCACTTAACCGCTTGTGCCACTGGGCCAGCCCCATAAATTCACACAAATTATACAAGCAAAGAGCCTGGCAAATGTTGAGCATTCAATAAACAGTAGCAGCCATCATCAGCCTCATCACCATCATCCTCCATCTTCCTCCCACTCCATACTGTCATCTCTCTTAGATACGCTTGAAGTTGCAGTTCTAATGATGGTTTTTAGGCATTATTACTACTCATGTTTTTCCATTTTCCAGTATCCCACCTTTGGTACGTACTCTAGAATGATGCCTCTCTTTGAAATCTGCCAGCACATCAAAGATAAAATTCCTCTTCTTGACCTGTTAAAATAGTAACTAAGAAGGAAATATATTGGGCCGGCCCTGTGGCTTGGCGGTTAAGTGCTCGCACTCCGCTGCTGGCGGCCCGGGTTCGGATCCCGGACGTGCACCGACGCACGCTTCTCCGGCCATGCTGAGGCCACGTCCCACATACAGCAACTAGAAGGATGTACAGCTATGACATACAACTATCTACTGGGGCTTTGGGGGGAAAAAATAAATAAATAAAATCTTTAAAAAAAAAAAAAGAAGGAAATATATTTAATCCCATTATCTTTCCTATACTTTATCCTACCTTTATCCTCAAGCTTTTGCCTCCTAAAAACAATGGGTTTCTATAATTTGCATCCATTTCTATTCAAGTTCGCCTCTCTTTCGAAATAGAAACAGCTTTAACTGTATAGTCGACCTAGATAGGACTTCTTTTTTTAAATCATTCTAAAAGTAATATTGCCATTTCTTCTTTAGTTTTTAGCAGTTTCCAAAAAAATTGAGACCAGCGTAATTTTAAATAACTGCTGGCAGTATTCAGACTTGTCTTTAAAACTAGGTCTGCCCCTCCCCACTCCCTATTCTTTGGAAATGGCATTTGAACTCGCTGACTCGAGGTTTGGTAGATAAACTGAATTCTCACCTACATTCACGTCGGGTCAACACTCTTGAGTGTGTTTATTTTGGCATTTCTATAAAACACTAAGGAATTTGGACAGCGCAGACTGGATCTGTTGATGATCCTAAGTCATTCCCTTTGGGAACTGAGGTCAAACAAGCGACAGCAGAAGAGAATGAGAATTATTGAGGACTCGGGTCTAAAATGAAGAAATTGAGAGGTGTTGCCAGATCTGCTCTTCCTTCCCATAAATCTATTTTTAGATGCCACAGGGATGGGTCTGGGCTCTTGCGCACTCGCCTCTGTGTGGCCTCCTGAAGTTATCACAACACCTCTGTTAATCACCACCTCAAGAGGCATTCCGTCTCTGCGAAAACCAGAGTTAGGCCTGCTTCCTCAGAGGTCTTGACCTTTCGTTACTTTTCTTTTTCCAGCATCTTCAAGATCTCCTCCTCTGCTTTCAGATTCGCACAGGCCTCCCTCATCTTGAAAAAAATGTTCATACCATCTCTGCTGCTCTCTTAGTCTTTTTCATTTACTCCACTTACTCCTCTTGCCTTTTTTCACCTACAACTTTTTTTTTAACCTAATTTTACTCTTAACAACTAAAGGCCAAAGTCAGTCCATATTTCTGAATGACTGTTTTGAGCTTTCCTTTAGCTTCCTGACAGAAGGTGGTCTGTGAGCCCCAAAGTCTCCTGTCCTGAGGCCCGCCACTGCTAAGGGGTCACCCCAGAGGACAGGACAGTGTGAGTCAGCACAGTATCTTCAGTGTACCAGGAGGGGATTGCTGTGTCCTCTCACACCCTGGGAGATATTCTTGGCCTCATTTAGCACTGGCCAATAGGCGAGCTTAGAAAATTGCTAAAAATAAAACAAAGAACCAAAGATGAAAATGCTCTTTTGACAACATTAGGACTCCAGGAGTTCTGACTATTAAAAATAAATGCCTTCATGTTCAGAGGCTTTTCTTTCTATGCGTCCATCCTGCTTGAATACTTTTGATGCAGTGGATGCATAACTTTGCTTTCATTTCTGTCTGTTGTTCAGACCCAGGGCCTTCTGGCTGCTCTGAGGATGGGTATTTTTTTCTCTTCCTGATTAAGCTCCCTGTTGAGATCAGTCTGGTCTGCCTCAATGTGTATGTATACCACCTGCTGGTGTATATAAATATTTCTTACATATCTGGAACCCACTGCTTAGTCTTCAGAGGCTCCTCAGCTGGTGTGATGGGCCTGGGGGGTTGGCCCGGTGGCATAGTGGTTAAGTTCACGTGCTCTGCTTCGGTGGCCCAGGGTTTGCAGGTTCGGTTCCCGGGTGCAGACCTACACACCGCTCATCAAGCCATGCTGTGGCAGCGTCCCACATACAAAATAGAAGAAGATTGGCACAGATGTTAGCTTAGGGCTAATTTTGCTCAGCAAAAAGGGGAATATTGGCAATGGATGTTAGCTCAGGGCTGATCTTCCTCACCAAAAAAAAAAAAAAGAGAGAGAGAGAGAGAGAGAAAGTCTCCCAGGCGAGTCCAGAGATGGCCCAAAGGACATGAGCCAGGTGTATGCCAATCTGTGCTTCCTCCTCTCAGGTAGAGTTCTGTGAACATGACCTGCTTCATTTGCATGCCCATAATTAGTAACCCCAGACATGGAGACAAATATGGCACAGAGCTATGGTTCTCCCAGAGACTTTCCTATTTCCCTTATGCCAAGCATAATTTTATGAGCAAAGCAAATTATGCTTAATACCTTTCAGATCACTAGACCTGTAAATGTGATGTTTAGATCGAGACAAGACACCCAAAATTAATATAACATCCCAGTTTCCACCAAATATCTCTTCTGCCACCGCCTCTCCACCCTCATCCTCTGTGACAAAGAGCTTTTTCTCTTGTCTTTAACATTTCCAGAAATATCTAGTCCTGTTCTTTTGGTATCATCCTTGACTTCCTTGAGGTAGATACTGTTGGTACAGTAAGCAAGAATAGTCCCCAAACTGGTTTTCTGTACCAATAAATTCCTTCCTCTTGAGTCGCCCTTTACGCTCTCCCTTGTCTGCCCTTCTGCTGGATCGGCTCCTTTCCTGGTCAGGCTAGCTATCATCGAGTCCCCTGCTCAGGGCTCTCACCTTAGTGCCTCAGGAAGAAAAAGGGGGTTTTTCTAAGGTTGTACATAGAGATGTATTTTGTGTGTGTGTGTGAAGAAGATCAGCCCTGAGCTAACATCCATGCCAATCCTCCTCTTTTGCTGAGGAAGACTGGCCCTGGGCTAACATCTGTGCCGATCTTCCTCCACTTTATGTGGGACGCCGCCACAGCATGGCCTCACAGGCCGTGCATCAGTGCGCGACCGGGATCTGAACCCAAGCTGCCAGCAGCGGAGAGTGCACACTTAACCACTACACCATGGGGCCGGCCCCTAGAGATGTATTTTAACATGTATATGCATAGAAAAAAAAATCTAGAAGGATATATGCTAAAATGCTAATGGTCTTTGTTTCTAGGGGTCTGATTAGAGGTGATTAAAACATTAGCCAGCCCTGGTGGTCTAGTAGTTAAGATTCAGTGCTCTCACCATTGCAGTCCAGGTTCCTTTCCTGCTCAGGGAGCCACACAACCTGTCTGTTGGTTGTCATACTGTGGCAGCTGCGTGTTGCCGTGATGCTGAAAGCTATGCCACCAGTATTTCAAACACCCATGCTAGATAGATTTCAGCAGAGTCTTACAGAGTAGAAAGAAGGATGTGGCCACCCACTTCTGAAAAAATTGGCCATGAAAACCCTATGAATAGCAGCGGAGCATTGTCTGATGTAGTGCTGAAGGTGAGAGGATGGAGCAAAAAGACTGAGCAGGGTTCTGCTCTGCTGTACACAGCGTTGCTAGGAGTTGGAATTGACTCTGGCACCATCAACAAGAAAAAACATGTATTGATTTTTGTTTTGTGTTTTGCATATCTTTTATAAAGAAGAAAGAGAGGCCTAGTATGTTCTCAGAGACATTCCTGCGATGGGCAGGCATCGGCACTCCCATCTTGGCTCCCACCCAGGGCTTGCTGGGGAGTGAGCCTCTGTGACCTTGAAGGGTTTGAGCCCTCCTTTTCCTGTGCGCGGTTCAACTTTTACCATGGACAGCCTTTGCCGTGTGGTTGCTTACATGTTGGGTCTGAGAAATTCCTCTTACGTTTCTTTCTAGGTCAAATTTGGATCCCTTCAACCAGTACACTGAAGACCAGATTTGGGATGCCCTGGAAAGGACCCACATGAAAGAATGTGTAAGTAAATAACGGAGGGAGGGCCTTGCTGGAATTGCGAGAGCAGAAGTGCAGTGATACTGTAGTCACTCTCCGGCCTCCTCAGCCTGTCCATCTACCCCCTGGATGTCTGTGGAGGGGCATCGGAGCAGGGCTTCCCAGGCATTTTAGAGAGGGCATAAAAGTTAATACCTCCCGTCCCTACCCTCTCCCACGCCCATGGTCATATTGCCCTTTTACTCTCCATTGATTGAGAAAATATTAATGACAACCACTCAGAATTCAGTAATGCTTTTAAGTTAATTTCTATTTTATTAATCATAACAGTATAACATGCTTTTGAAGCATCTATATATATGCAAGAGACATATCATTTATTGAGTCTGCAGAAAGCCTGCAGTATGTGTATGGATTCATAGACCTCTTAGGGTAACTCAGGACCCCTCCAGGGGCCACAGTCTCCAATACCCCTGGCCTAGAGTAGGGTCTCTCATGCCCCTGGGTTGAGTCGAGCTCAGGATCCCCTGTCCTAATTCAACTAGATCAGTTCTGCTTTTATCTCTTTTATATCTGGCTTCCTCAAACAATTTCATTTGAGGAATAAGTTCTATAGCTTACCGAAAAAAATGTGACAGCCATGGGCCTACAACTTTAGACTTCAGAAATGGAGTAATGTTGTTTACCCCATCTCTTATTGCAGGACAATATTTTCAGTGGCCCAAAAATTAGGGCCACTATCTAACAGGATTTGGGTACATGTAAAAATTGGAATTTCTGGGTCATTTTGATGCTGTGAAGCTAAGAGAATAGTATATTTGATATATGGATTGTCCTAGAAAATGTGGGTCCTGGCACACATGATCATCACACCTGTATCTTCTTTCTAGAGGAGCCAGATTCTTGGCTAATAATTCTTGCATCTGTTTCAGAATAATTTACTTTAGCCACTGGATTTTTTATAAAATTTAGTTTAGTTTTTTTTTTTCAAAATTTACTTTTTCACCCTTCTAATTTCTACTTTCTTTCTCCCTAGATTGCTCAGCTACCTCTGAAACTTGAATCTGAAGTGATGGAGAATGGAGATAACTTCTCAGTGGGGGAACGGCAGCTCTTGTGCATAGCAAGAGCCTTGCTCCGTCACTGTAAGGTAGGGCAGGTTGGTGGATGTGGGGAAGGGGAGCAGCAGAGAAGAACAGGAAGATGGAAGAACAGCCTTTCCCTGGAGCACACGGTCCAAGGCATTCCTGGCTCTGAGCCCAGTGGCATTGTTTAAGAGAATGCCCAGTGATGTTTCTAAATTAACCTTGATGTAGTTTGGGTATATGGGTGTTTTTTGTTTTTATTTAACTTACCTGAGCGTTCAGTTTCCAAGGGCGACTTTTGTTTCTGGTCAGTGAATAGTTGTAGTGCTGGAAACCATGGATTTAGAAGATTTTAAAACCTGGAGACATCCAGGTCATCAAATCCAGTCCCCTCTTTTTATAAACCGGAAAAGGGAGGTCCAGAAAGATTACTATACATGTTCAGAGTCACAGAACACGTAGGGGCGAGTATTTTGTTAGATGAGTATGATACATATATTCTTTGATTTGTGGGAATCAAGGCAAATGTATGGGTTTTAATTATGTCAATTCTAAAGAAAATGGTATTTTTACATGTATCTGTGGCTACTTAGAAAAAACAATGTATGATATAAAATTTAAATAATGAAATACCTTTTAGTAAAACCTAGATTAACCAGAATGCTTAAGGAATTGGTTGGATCCCTCTTTCTCCTCTCCTCCCTGGCAGATTCTGATTCTAGATGAAGCTACAGCTGCCATGGACACAGAGACAGACTTACTGATTCAGGAGACCGTCCGAGAAGCATTCGCTGACTGCACCATGCTGACAATTGCCCATCGCCTACATACAGTCCTAGGCTCTGATAGGATTATGGTGCTGGCCCAGGGACAGGTACTGAGCCCCTGAGGGACCTTGGCTTGTCATGTGGTCTTGTCTGGGAGGAAAATTGGCCCCTGGCAGGGATGGGCTGATTGCCATCATAGCGTGGTTCTGCGCATTCAGATAAGCAGCCTCAGCTACTCTAGTCTGGTTGCTACTGGAAGGAATACAGCCCTCCCAATCAAGGGATTGAGTCAAGGGCATTCTTATTGGGTTCTCATTTTGCTTTATTACCTGTTCTTTTCTCACTTGTAAACAGTGACACCTTGACTTAGGTCAGAGAACCTGTGGACCTAGTAATTCACTCACACGCACAAGAATCACCCAAGGCGTATTGAGACCAGCCACCACATGTTTGCTTTTTGCCATCGTGCAGTGGTGCCAAACTTCTTATCCTGCTGTTCCAAGCTTCTCCACAATTTGGCCCAGCCTAGTCTTCTTCATTTCCCATTCTTTCCTTGCAGGTGCTGTTGGCTAGAGACAATCCTGCATCCCCTAAGCTTTTTCCCCACTGTCTTCACTCATACACTTCCATCTGCCTAAGGTGCCCTTTCTTCTCATTTGCTCTCCCATATCTATCTGCTCATAACCTGCCTCCTCTGCTAGTAATTGTGTAATTCCTTATCTCCCCTATTAGACTGTATGCTCTCTAAGGGCAGGGGTCCCACCTTATCCATCTTTGGGTCTCTTGCGAGGCTCAGTACTACAGTTCTGAGTACACAGTACACAGCACATGGTAGATGTTACATAAATTTATGTTGAACAAACACTTCCTTTGTGTGCTCCTGGGATGGAAGTAAATTAATGATTTGGCTTAAATAACAAGCCAGTTACAATGGGTGGCTTGTCTTCTGTTATCAACAATACTGACGACCATAACAGCTACTTTCATTAAATGTTTATAGTATGTCAGGCACGGTGCTAAGTGCTTTACATATAATCTCTCAACATATAATCCATCATCACAACTACCGAGAAAAGTGCTGCTACTATTAACTCTGCTTTACAGAAGAGAAAACTAAGGCTCAGGGAACTCAGATACCTGCCTCAGGTCCGCAGGAAGTGGAGGGTTGGGGCCGAACTCAGGCCAGTGACTCCAAAGCCAGTGCTTTACACTATCCCACTGCACTGTCTGTCTGTGGAGAAATATTGAGAAAACATGGCTGATTTAGGCTGGGCGTCAAAGCTGAGTTCCAGAGATCATAGGGGTTAATGATTTTTCTCCTCATCTTGAAATTTTATTAACATTCGTGGTTTTTTTGCTACTCTCTTTGTTTACACTATCCTAAATGTTTCCCAAGATCCTATTATACGTTAGTACACAGGTATTAAATAGAACATGATAAAATAAGATAGAGGGGACCAAGAATACCTCCTGGGAAATTCTTTCTTAAAGACACATATCCAGACCACTCTGTTTCTGTGAGTGGCTCAATGCTGTTTTGGTATGGGAAGTGATTGGCTCTTAATGAGGGACTCTATCCTTCCCTTCCCTTATTTGTGTTTCTTGTTAATTAAAATTTCCTTGTAATTTTAGGAAAACCTGAAAAACACAAAAAAGCATAAAGGCAAAAATAAGACCACAAGTCATTTACCCCCCCAGGGATAATCATTGTTAATACATTAACTTACCCCCCACCGGCATTTTTCATGCATCTATACGCACAGACTCTGATAGGATGCACTCTGCTGTAGACACAATGCTGGAATGAAAGAGGCTTGGACAGTAGGAGTTTATTATCCCATGTGGCAAGAGGCCAGAGGGGTGGTTATTCAGCAGCTCAGCGATGTCAGACTCTGTATCAGCTTCCAGCCGGTGCCTACCCTTCCCCTCATAGTGGAGGATGTCTGCTCTCGCTCCAACATTGTATCCTCCTCACACCAGTCCTAATGAAGGACACTTTGCCCTTATGCCTCTCTGTCGGGTAGGACAGCCTTTCCTAGAAGTACCCAGGAGACTTCCCCTTGTATCTCCTTGAACAAGGTTGTGTCCCATGCTTTTGCCCTGCAGCAAGAGTGGCTTGGAAAGTGAGTATGTGGTGTTGTCAGCCTCTATCATGGGAGGCAGGTTCTGCCAGTATATCATGCAATTTTCTACTGCACTATGATCTTCAGTGGCTGCACTGGAGCTCGTCACAGGAATGGATAATTGAGTCAGTCCTTACTCACTTCCTTTTTTTTCCTCCAGCTGGGCATTCTGAGCTGTTTCTTTTCCATCTACAGGGCTAGATCAGCTTGTACCACAAGATGACGTTTGCCTGCCATACGTGACTTGAATTGTGATTTGTTTCCCCTGTAGCTTATAGGACCTTGTTGATTGATTCCTTCATACCCAAGGCTGAAAGAATTGAGATTTATGTGAAGGAGATCTGGAGGTCTTTCTCCCTCACCTTTCCCTTATATTTTGGTTAGTTTAAAAAAACAAGGAACCCATTTGGACATGGCAGGGCTGGTTGAATTGTCGCCCTGATTCCATCCTCAGGGGGCTTTGGGGTTTGCCCCCTTTCCTGAGCAGTGGATCCTCTGAATCACCCTGAGTCACATTCTGATGCCGTCTCCTTCCTTTGTAGGTGGTGGAGTTTGACACCCCATCGGTCCTTCTGTCCAACGACAGCTCCCGGTTCTATGCCATGTTTGCTGCTGCGGAGAACAAGGTCGCTGTCAAGGGCTAACTCCTCCCCACCACCACCGCCGAAGTCTCTTTTCTTTGGAGCATTGCCATTCCCTGCCTGGGGCGGGTCCCTCATCGTGTCCTCCTGCCGAAACCTTGCCTTTCCCGATTTTATCTTTCGCACAGCATTTCAGGATTGGCTTATGTGTTTCACTTTTAGGGAGAGTCATATTTTGATTATTGTATTTATTCCATATTCATGTAAACAAAAATCTAGTTTTTGTTCTTAATTGCACTCGAAAAGGTTCAGGGAACCGTTATTATAAATGTATCAGAGGCCTATAATGAAGCTTTATACGTGTAGCTATATCTATATATAATTCTGTACATAGCCTATATTTACAGTGAAAATGTAAGCTGTTTATTTTATATTAAAATAAGCACTGTGCTAATAACAGTGCAAATTCCTTTCTATCATTTTTGTACAGTTTGCTGTACTAGAGATCTGGTTTTGCTAATAGACTGTAGAAAGGGTAGCATATTGTTCTTCTGTAGCTGGTTGCTTCACGGTGCCGGGTTTTCTGGGTGTCCAAATGAAGATGTGTGGCAATAGTGGGCCCTCCAGTGGCACCCTCTGCCACCCCCCCACCCCGCAACCACTCCAAGGCGGGGTCGAGGGGGTCGCTGGAGGCCAGGCAGAGCGCCGTGAATTCTCAGGGCTCCTGCTTTCTGTCCTGTTGTCACGTCACTGTTTCTGTTGGGAGAGCAGTGGGGCAAAGCCCCAGACCCCTTTTCACTCCCTCCATCAGGAATGAGAATCACAGAAGCGTTCCTCGGAGAGGGGAAGTTTCTTTCCTGCCTTCCTCTTTTTGCTGTTGTTTCTAAACAAGAATCAAGTCTATTCACAGAGTGTCCCACTGCCTCAGGTTCCTAACGCTGGCCACTGCACAGAGCTCTCCAGCTCCTAGACCTGTTGGTTCCACACCCTGGAGCCAGCTGCTGCTTTTTTCGGTGGTACTTTTTCGTTTGCCTGGTCCCACACCTCCGCAGTTCAGTGACAGGGTTCAGGATTTTGTGGGTCTGTTTTCCTTTCTCACTGCAGTTGTCACACAGTCTCTTTCTCTCTCCAAAGTCTGCGACTTTAAGCAGCTCTTGCTAATCAGTGTCTCACACTGGTGTAGAAGTTTTTTGTACTGTAAAGAGACCTACCTCAGGTTGCTGATTGCTGTGTGGTTCGGTGTGTTCCCGCAAACCCCCTTTGTGCTGTGGGGCCAGTAGCTCAGGTGGGTGTGGTCGCTGCTGTCATCAGTTGAATGGTCAGCGTAGCATGTCGTGACCAACTAGACATTCTGTCGCCTTAGCATGTTTGCTGAACACCTTGTGGAAGCAAAAATCTGAAAAAAGTGAATAAAATTATTTTGGATTTTGTAAAACTCTTGGTGTATAAAATAGTTCTCTGCAAAGGGAGCAAGACGTCTTTGAATGGCTTTGGAGGACCGGAGCCTTGGATCTGAATATCCAGCGATGGAGTTACATCTGGTTGGTGGTATGGGGCATGGGACTCAACGTGCCTGGAATCATCTGTGGTGTCGTAGTCACTACAGCCTGTGTCCGCCAAGTAAAGCTCCTGAGCTGCTAATAAGAGGGTGGGGAGTGGGGAGGGTGAATGGTTGCAGTGAAATATATTTAAAATGAACAGTTTGTTGAGTGTTCTCAGCAATTCAAACAATATAATTGCCCTTTCAGCCAGTTCATTCAGATTAACTCATTGAGAATTAAGTACCCATTCAAAAGGGTACTTATTCTAAAGTTTCTCAGTATATTGTGTTGAATGCAGCCAAGAAAGCTTTTAAACTATTTGGTATTGGTTCTGCTGACCATCCACGGAAATATCTTAAACCCAGCCCTTTTTTGTAAACTACTGTCTTGAAAATTCAGGGGCTTGGCTCTAAAGTTAAAAATTCAGCTCATCTGTTGTCACATTTCAAGTGTTCAGTAGCCACCCGTGACCTGTGGCTACTGTATTGGACATCGCAAATACAGAACACTCCCATCATTGCAGACAGTTCTGTTGGACGGCACTGATGGAAACAACCACTTTTATTGATGCACTGGATTTACCTTCCAAGAAGGGTAACAAGGTCAGCGGGAAGAGCCCCTATGTCGCCGCCCTGTTCAGGCTTTCTGTTGCAGGTGACACTGACTTCCCCGCCTTTCAGTTCTGTTCTCTCATATCTCTTGGGTCTCCTCCCATCAACCTGCTTTGCCGCCTTAAAAGGAAGCATTTCCCTGACTTTTGCCCACTCCCTTCTCTCTCCTTGTGTGGATTCTTTCACTCCCACAGGTACGGTGACCCACCTTCACCTGTGGGCTTGGCCTTTCTCCTTAGTACCAGTCTCCAGCTCCTGCTGAGTACCTCCACTGGGCATCTCCCAGGTGCCTCAAACAGCCTCTTGGAAATCAAAGAGCGCTGCTTGTCTTAATTAGTGGTAGCACTGACATCCTTAGTCTCAGGCTAGAAGCCTTGAATTCATTTCAGCTCTCCTGCCCCTTCCCAAAAAAAAAATTCAGTCACTTCCAGGTCCTATACATCACCACCACCGCCCTCTTCTCTCTCCCTCTGCCCTAATTAAGACCTACCTCTCTTCTTTTTCACATTGTAGTTACAGCCTCATAACTAGTCTCCATGCCTCATTGTCCTCTTCTGAACCATTGTGTATACTACTGCCAAAATGCAGACCAAAATTGCAAGCTGGTCGAATACTTTACCCTCCAAAGATCTTCAGGGGACAGTTGACTATAGAGTGGCCCGTATTCCTTAGCTTGACAGGGTGTCAATCTTCTGGCTCCAACCCTCCTTTTCTACTCAGTATTCCTAAAAGCAAGCCAATCTTTGCACACCTTTAAGTCTTTGTTTTTTTCTCAGCCTGGAATCCCTTGATCCTCTCTTGTCAAACAAAGGTGTGTTTTTCATTTTAAACCTAGTTCAAATACTATCTCCTCCACAAAGCCTTTCGCTTCAAACCAGACTTCTCTGGGTTCCTACAACACATTACTTACACATCCACTTTAAGGTTTATTTCCTTTTACTTTGCATGTTATAGTTGATTGTTTTCTTATATTTCTGCCCATGAATATAAACTTCATGAAGGCAGTAAATCATCATATTTTTGTATACCTTTTAACTCCTGGCTTAAGCATTATGTTTCCATATAGTAGGTGCTTAATAAGTATCACACTATTCAGCTGACTCTTGAATAGTGCCTTATACATGGATGCTCAATCAATATTTGTTAACAGAAATCAGTGCTTTAGACTTTCACTGTGGTCATGGCAAAAAGAAATTTGATTTCTTCAAAGAGACAAAAACGTGGCATTGAGGAAAAGAGGCCTTTATGCAGAATGACTTCAGGAAAGCCAGAAAATAAGCATGCCCAGCATTGGGGGAATGGTTTAGTGATGTGCAGCTCTTTGCTGATTGATCACCCAGAAATAGGGTCTAGCATTAAAAGTAAATGAGTCACAGGGGATATAGAAAGGCTCACTAACTGAAACCTTATCTTGCACTAATGGTTGCCTGCACTGTTGTGTGTCATATTTCTTTTAATAACTTTTTTTTCTAATTATAAAAGTAAGGCATGCTTTTTGTACAAAATTTGGAAAGAGCAGAAAGGTGCAATGAAGACACCAAAAATTGCCTGTACCCTATTGTGGCCGAGTGTATTTTACAAACATGGCCACAGCAGCATCTCCCATCTCCCATGCTTTCCTGCAGTGCAACCTTGCCACTCTCCCATCAAGAAGTGGAGTCTGTTTCTCTACCCCTTTCAGTGGGCTCTCTGACTACTTTGACTAATAGAATATGGTGATACTGTGTCAGTTCTGCACACTTTTGCGGCTCACACTTCCTGCCTCATGGAAACCAGCCACCACATAGGCAGTACAACTATCCTAAGACTACAATACTGTGAGCTTCACAAGCCACATGGAAAGTTCCTGGAGGATGAGATACCATGTGGAGATACAGTGAGGCCAGGGAGTACTGAGGCATCAGACATGTAAGTGAAGAAGCCATTTTGGAAGTGAAACCTCCAACCCCAGCTGATGCCCCTACAGATGAGAGATGAACCACCCAGCTGAGCCCTTCCCAAATCCCTGAGCAAAATAAAATGTTTTTAAAGCCACTACATTTTGGGGTAATTACACAACACTATTGAAGCACATATCACCCCAAAATAGCCAATATTATATTGCTGTATTCTTTACAGCTTTTTCTAAGCATATATATTTTTTAATTATTAAAAATATGCATGGTTTTTTGTTAGAAATCCAAAGGGCACATAAATGTAGAAAATGTAGATAGTGGAAAGGCAACTGAATCACACCCCACAAAGGAGGCAACCACTGTTAACCATTTGATCTATATTTTTCCAGTCTTTTTTTCTAAACACCTAACAGCATTATTCATTTAAAATATAATTCATTAAAAACAAAATTAGGGGGCCGGCCCCATGGCTTAGCGGTTAAGTGTGCGCGCTCCGCTGCTGGCGGCCTGGGTTCGGATCCCGACGCGCACCAGACACACCGCTTCTCCAGCCATGCTGAGGCCGCGTCCCACATACAGCAACTAGAGGGATGTGCAGCTATGTCATACAACTATCTACTGGGGCTTTGGGGGAAAAAATAAATAAATAAAAAATTTTAAAAAAAAACAAAAAAAAAACCAAAATTAGGATAACATATATACAACTTGTATGATCTCAACACATTATGAACATTTTCTCACGTCAAATATTCTTCAGAAATATGATTTTGATAGTTTTATAACATTTTCTTTTAGAGATTCATTTGTTTCATTCAACAAATATTTTTTGAGCATCTAGTATATGGCAGGCAGTGTTCTAGGAACTGACAGCACAGTACTGACAATAAAACAGAAAACACCCCTGCCCTCATGGAGTTTGCATTCTATTGGGAGAACAGGCAAGAAGTCCATAGTAAATCACATAGAATTCAAACTCAGATACCCTGATTCCAGACTTCTAGTGGTTCTCTCTCATCTCATGACCTTAGCTTCAGGAGTAAGCACACATGCTGGACCAGATGGTCTCTAAGGTTTCTTCTAGCTCTGATTCTATGACTAATGTGGATCAATAAATATGTCCTGATAAACCTGGATCCTGATAACCCCATTTGAAGCATAGCTCCAGAGCTATGCCCATTCCTCCCAGGTCCCATGAGGGAGATGGTATGTATTTGGGGAGTGGGGAGAGTCATCTCTTTTTCTGGAGTCTTCTCCCTACCCTGCTGCTGCCTTGGACCTGGGCTCACCATTCCTCCTGGGCTCAAGCAAGCTCTCTCTCACCCCCTCAGGTGGATTCAGCTTAGGAAGGCTAAGCTCCCTACCCAGCTGCTGCCCACGTAAGAACTGTCAGAGCTAGTAATTGGGCTCCCATAGCCATCGCACAGCCATCTTCCTGAAGGGGAGCACCATCACCCACCCAGGATCAGCCCAACGCCAGCCAGGCAGGACTGTGGGCACACAGTGGTCGGGGCAGAGACACTCACCTTGCCCAGAATGGTTGGTTTTGGGGGCTGGGGACATTGCTCTGACCTTCCTTTCATATCCTTGACAAAGAATCTACTGGGCTGGGGTCCTGGGGCCATTCTGACCACTGGTGAGAGAAAATGTGTCAACAGTCCCTCCCTGGGGTCTTTCCCACCCTCATCCCCATGGGCCTTTGAGAAAGTCCTTCCCTCCATGCACTCTGGGAATTTAAGCCACCCACTTCTTGCCTTATCAATCCAACCAACTCTTCCCTTCCAGCTTCCCAACACCTGGACTCTACCCACCTTGGGCTTTTTTCTTTTCCCAAAAAATATTGATTGAGTATCTGTTAAGTGCCAGGCACCATAGTGGACACATGGAGATCACAGTTGAAGAAGAAGAAAGACTTAAATTATTTGCTCTCTGTATTTGTCTCTTTTTCTCTCCCTCCCTCCTCCTCCATGACTCTCTGTATCTCAGATCCATGCTGAGAGCAGCCAGGATCTCTCACCACTAGGGAGGTGCCTGGTTGGTTCTTCCCCAGGTTCTACAGAGATACCCTTTCCTTCCCGTCCATGGTGTTCTCTACTTGGGGTCACCCATTCTCACCTTGAGTGTAGTAAGGCATAAAGATCTAATGTAAGGATGTGGGCCCAGGGGCTGCTGCCAAAAAGACCTCTGGGCCTTGAGCATCCCCCAGACCAACCACAGGAGTCCTCAGGCACCAGACTATCCAGTCTAGCCTACCAAGCTGCCTCACAGAGGCATGGCCAAAGCCTTGAAGGCGTCAATGGAAGGGTTTTGCCTAGAACAGCCTCAGTGTATATTTCCTTTGGAAGCCTGCAGATGGTCAAGATTGCAGGAGCTGAGTCCTGGCCAC